CTGTTGCCACCATTTAGACGATTTGCATAGAAAGGCTTGACAAAAACGACAATAAAATGTGAAGAAAGTTTTTGGAAAATGCAACGATACGAAGTTCTATCATTTATGATTCTTACTGCATTTTACCAAACTATATCTACCGAAATATCATTTTGTAGAGCTCAAACTAGTATTATCTGTGTCTGCGTACGGGCAGTGCTTCGTGAAAAACATATCTGAGCTTAAGATAGATACTCTGAAATTAATTCACTCATCTGGCCCATCAGCTTAATGCAAAATGCCCATTAATTCGATTGAAATCATTGCAAACAGGAATGTCACTTGGCAAATGAAATTATATTTCTGTTTCTGTACATTTTCATTGGTAAATATGAGGTGATTGGCATATTGCAGAAAAAGTAATGTAAACGCAAACCATTCATGAAAATATTTATTTATACCCTGCCCATTCGTTTGTCCAAGGTAAATAATACTTTAAATTTGTACAGAAACCATAAGAAATCCGTGTTGAACAGCCATTAAATGTAAACCAATATTTATAGTGAATGTGCTTAATACTATTGCCTAGTAATGATTGTTAAAGCTTAAGACATACACCCACAGCAACAACACACCACATAACAACACTCACATGAACAAATGTAAATTACATAAATAAACCCATGGAAGCGAAAACGCAGTACGCCTAAACCATACATTATTGGCAACATTGCAGCAGAAATATTATATATATGTATCTATATATATAAAAAACAACAAATGTGATTTTTGAATAAAAATTAAACTGAAACTCGAAACATTTTGTATCTCTTGTATCGAAGTTAAGCTGCTAATGCATTTTCAATTTAGCAAGGTGCCACAGGAATCCCCATCTAAACACATTTGTGTTAAAGTTTGCCCAAGGAATTAGCGGCAAAGTTTTTAGCGTGCTGAAAATTTCGTTGCCGTAAAATGCGTCGCCATGTTTCTGGTTTGCCAAACTAAGAGGAAAAACTTCATTTACGTATACACGGCACTCTGAACTCTAAGCTGCTATGGAAAATTATTAAATTGCACTGCCTTCTCATTTCTGCAATGAAATTTCGCGGTTTGCATGCCTTTTTGCAGCCCAATGACGAAGCACTTACCAAATGAATTATTGCAGCCTCGGCTTGCCATAATTAAATCCATTATAGAATGCTTTTAGTATCAATTTAACTGCGAAATTGTGCTTTTAAGACATTAGCACAGGTTTTGGGCTGAACAAGCATCAATAATTAGGTTTATAATAACTAACAGGCAATCGTTAATCGTTGGTAAATATCCATAGAAATCTGAACTAAAACAATTTTCCTTAAGTTCCTTGCTAAAAAATCTCTTCATACAGCTTATACTTTTTGGGTTTTGTAAAACTCAGCGGTATTTATGGGACCCATTCTGCAGTGGGTTCTTTACCACATGGGGCAAACATTTTTTGCAGGGTTTAATTTAGCAGCACACAGGCGACCCCTGGCGGCGGTCACTTGCTTCCGCCAGGATGCCATGCTGTTGACATTGCCAAGGTTGTTGTTGCATGTTGCTGATGTCGCAACTACAACACTCTCTGAGTGCGTGAGTGTGTGTGAGTGATGCTTTATGCAGGCAACAAAGAAACCGCCAGAGTGCCACGCCCCCACAACTACCCACTACCGCTGAAAATGCCCTCCAAAAAAAAAGCTAGCATACTTACATGGTAGAACCTAAAAGTAGGCAGCACATATGCTAGTTTCTTTTTGCAGCTGCAATATTTTGCATTAATTAGAAAGTGGGCCATGTTCCGGTCCGCTTTCACGGCCCCCGCCCCACCGTTGTACCACCCACCCCCCTCCGCTCCGCCCGCTAAGTACTGCCAACTTGTGTGTGCGGTTGGGGGCATAAAGAAAATGGCTGCCGCTGTTCGCCATTCGCCATTCGCGTTGTTTGTCTGCAGAGCCGTTAAATTAGGCTTAAAGCAACTTCTGTGCATTGTTTTGTTAAATACTTTACGTAAATGGCCCACTGGCTGTTTGCTTTTTGTGGTTTCTGCTAATTACGTAATACCCGCGGCCCAGTTGAGTGTTTTTCGCTGCTCCAATTTATGTTTCAGATATTTTCGCTGTTTATTAAAAGGCGTACATGTTCACGCAAATTGCTTAGATTGTTTGCGTTTAATAACTTGTATTTGTCTGTAATTATAGTTTTAATAGTGTACTTGCTTATACAAATCAGGCAGCTGCAACATGATTTTGCTAGCACTTGCTACTTGTGCACCCACTGCGTATGCGTAACGAAATGCACTTCAAATTCACTTAAAATGTTCGAATATTTCTAAATAGTTCTGCTAATGAAATCAAAAGTCAGCCCGAAAAAGTCAGGAATTGATTTAATTTCCGTCCAAAAGTGCATGTCGAGCCCGGGCTCAACTAATGGGATTTATCCATGAAAAAAATGCATGCATAAATTCATCGCCCAAATGTCTGGTCGAATTCTATCACAAGTGTTTACGACTCGTTAACTAAACGATTTCGTACACAAGCGTGCAGCACAACAAATATTTGCAGAGATACGCCAAAAGCAACAACGACGACATCTGATGCCATTGTTTAGCAAAAATATGAAAATATGCAACAAAATTTGAATCGGTGAAGCAGTCAACCTCCGACATCGTATCAGCAGGACCTGAAACAGAAGCCATAGCAATCAGGCGGCCACCCACATCCCTCAGATTTTTCATCTCGGAAAATGTTGATGGGAAATTGGGGGAAATATACGCAGATTGCTCTGGCAGAAAACTAAAAACTTTGCCAGGCATTTTGTACACACATACACGTATATACAGAAATGTGGAGCAAGTAGAAACAATTGGCTTTTATTGAAGTAAAATTTAATAAAGAAGTTTTCAATATGCTTTGGCAATATGTAAACAATCAACTCGGCTCCAAAAATCATAAATATTTTCATTACGACAATGCAACAAAGGCCAAACTTTCGGCGACTTGAGTGTTTCCGCCTGAAGTGTCCTTGTTGTTGCTATTTTCTACTTCGAGTGCAGCTGCCAAAAATTCTCAATATGCACTCCGCAAATATTTGTATAAATTTCAGTACAATTTGTGTTTTTATTAAAGGTCTTCGCTTACAAGTGTTGACAGCAAGATTTGTGTCAAACGTTTTTCTGACGAATTTATTGGACGAAGGCAAAAATAGTATCAGCACTTTAATGTCACCACAATCTGTAGCCTTTGGTCGGCCAACAGCTTGAGCCGACAGGGGAGAAAAGTTGGCCAGGAAAAGGGAAGTCCAATTGCATTCCAGGTGCTGAAATGGACGTTGGAATTTATAGGGCCCCGGCAAAAATCTGGTAATCTGAATTGATTTACAGCATTGGCAAGGCATTTCCATGAGCATCTAAGTGACAGCTACTTTTCGGTGTTGGGTTCGGTGAATGGCTCGACCTGTGACTACCTAGATTTAGTTTCAATCTTAATTTGAATATTTATAGCAGCATGATATTCAAACAAATTTGGCCCTCCCTGATGTGATTTATAATACTTATAGAAGAGCAATTACCAAAATTTCACCTGCCACGCCAATACCGTCAGCCTTTACCGGGTTTTTCCCGGCTCTCGGCCAGGCTAATTTGTTTACAGCCAACTGGACCACACACACAGACAAGCACACACACATGTGCATGTAGGACAAACTAGGCCGACATTGCCATTTATAATAATTGAACAGCGGCCCGCACAAAACCAAACTGCGAACCGCCGACGGTCGCTGGCATAAATTGATTAACTTCCTATTGACCAGGCCAAAAGGTATGCGGTGGCATCGGGGAAGGTGGGGGACATGGCGACTCCAGTGGGGCGATCATTTAAATGTGCAGTTTGTGATTTATAATTAACCAAAGATTATGTATTTTTCCAAACATTACCAAATTAACCATTTTTTTCCACATTTTTTTTATTGTGTTTTGTTTTCAAGCACTTTGAGACGTAAGATCTAGATCGCATAAAATATCTAATAAATAACTGAACCTGGAAAAAATCCAATTTATGCAGTACTAGCAGATTATTTTGGGCAGTGCTTTTTTGCAGGTCTGGCAGATTGGCGGCTGGTGAGGGCGATTTTGTGCTGGTAATCCGCGCAGGTCTACAAACAAATTACGATTTAAACTAATTAAAATACATAAATGTGGGTACGTGATGCTGGAACACAATCGCAGCGCTCCTACAACTCTCGCATCCAAGTTAATTGCGGCCATTGCGGCAGAGGCATCCAGCGATCGACCGTCCAACTCCACCGACCGGAACTCCGCAACGGCGAGCAGTGGCAGCGACTCTCTGGCAAACTAACTACATTGGATTGGGACTCGGACTCGGAATCGGATCCATCCCATCCCACCGCATCCCAAGCCATTCAGCCACCACCGGCAACAGAATATTGGGCAAGTGGGGAAATTACGGCAGCATTATGGTACATTATCTGCTGCAGAACCCAAAAACCCAGCGACAACTTCATTTGCCGCAGGGGGAAGTGAGATGGCACGAGGGAGGGAAAGGGAAGGGCGAGCGAGTTGTGAAGCAGAGAAAAATTTATGTTTGACATTAACAGCAGTGCGGAATTCAATGAAAAACAAGAACGAGGGAGGGTCGACAACTTGCGGCTCTTTAAAATAGTTACCCAGAAAATGCTGATAAAATTTGTTAAAATTGAGAGTAGAGTTTTTTTAATTTTTGTGAACTGTAGATAAATCTGCAATCATTCTTGTTTAAGTTGCCAAAGAGACTTTTCAAAGAACATGCTAGAATGCTGACCAATTTGAGCGTATAATATAGACTGCCTCAAGACAGTTTAATTAAACTTACGCTTGAGAGATGAGTTCAGTCTGATTCTGCGAAATGCCGAGGCACAACCTATGCCTCACTGAGTGGCCCACTTTAATTAGTTCCTAATTAGTTTATGTGGAAAATGATGGAGTGGTGAAACCCTATACGAATGTAAGAAAATAAGGCTAGACAGCAAACTGCAACTCTAGTAACCCACGATCCACCCTCGTTTGGTACCTCCAGAGGGCTGGCTCTTGGGTTTTAGGGTCCAGATCGACATATAGTTGAGGTCCGTTACCATGGCTGTATAAACAACCTACCCAACGCGCCGCTGCTTTCCACACTCATTTCGCTGCTGAATGGAATGGATGGTATGTTGGTGGTGTCGCTGGTGTTTTGATCTATGGATGCATGAATGATTCGCTGCGCACCGCAGCAGCAAAAGCAACAGCGACGTAATGACACCAGAAAACAATTGAAATAATTCTAGCAGAAATTTTCGTTAGCTCACCGACCCAGGGCAGCAAACTTTGTTCGTGGTGTGTGTGTTTGACCATTTTTTCCGTGGCTCAGTTTTCATTTCAACTCCGAGCGGACTAAAAGTTGCAGCGAAAAAAGCGAAATTTCAGTGAAATATACCTATATTTTGTGGTTGGAGAAAAACCTGCTTAAAAAGGCGTACGATAATTAATAAATGCGCTTAAATGCGCCATGAACTATGCAAAAGTGATGTGCAAAAAGTGAGAGCTAACAAGTGAGCGTTGCAACTGGCAATCATGTGGAATGCATTAAGGATTCAGCAGATTTTGCGGCTACTCCAGATTCTGATTCACCTGTCGCCGCTCTGTTCTGCCCAACAGACGCACATTAAGTTGGAGCAGGGCGATCTCATTGGGGTGAGGACATGCCATTTTGGTACTTAATTACATTAAAGCCCTGCAACTGGTTCACTGCTTCCAGCTCAAGGTCTTTCCGGATGGGACACGTGGCGCTGTCTACGCCTTCTTGGGCATTCCCTACGCCCAGGCTCCCCTCAACGAGCTGCGATTTGCTGTAACTTGCTGTAAAGGAACTTAAATCACATAGTTTGTAGGACAATTTCATTTCCGCAATATTTGACTTTTGGTTTTTAAAATCATTGACCAGTCATTTGGGGTTAAAATGAGTTCTTTTTAATTGGCCCATTGATTACCCTGAGATAAATGAGATGTTTTCGTTTCCAGCTCGCCAAGCCGAGCGCCAGTTTCAATCGCACCCTCCAGGCCACCACCATGCAGCCCCTCTGCCCGCAGCTCGCGAACACCATTTACGACGAGAGCTCCGATGGCGGCATGCCCAGATCAGTGAGCACCGACGAGGACTGCCTGTACCTGAACATTTGGACACCGGAGTCGGGCATGCGGTACGGCAAGCTGCCCATAGTGGTCATTGTCACGGGTGAGGAGTTCGCCTACGACTGGCCCAGAAACCGCATCAATGGCTTGGATCTGGCTGGAGAGGGCATTGTGGTGGTCAGTGTCCAGTACCGAAATAATATCTACGGCTGGCTGAGTCTGGGGGAACAGCACCGTAATGTACCTGGAAATTATGGACTAAGCGACGTTCAGATGGCACTGCGTTGGATTCAAAGGAATGCAAATGCCTTTGGCGGCAATCCAGATCACATTACGCTTCTGGGGCATGGGAGTGGAGGAGCCCCTCTGGCACTGGTTGCTACATTGCAGGATTCCAGCTTGGTAAAACAACTGGTGCTCATGTCACCCGGTCCTATAATGCGTACCTTGGGCCAGAATCACCAAAAGCGGATAGTGGAAACTGGTCAGGTGCTGGTACAGAAATTGGGCTGCCAATTTGAGGAGGCCCAACGTCGCCAGTTGATGGGTTGTCTTAGGCGCAAGTGCCGGGAGGACTTGCTGCGTGCCTACGAAAGCGTCTATAACCATGGCAACGGAAGCTCCCAGCTGGGCGTGATTCTACCCGACGGATTGCCACTCGAACAACGCCTTCGAAACAGAACATTGCCCCCCGTACTTCTAGGCATCACCTCCAACGAAGGCGCATTCCTGCAGGACTACTGGCTGGATGTGGCCAGGGAGGGTCAGGTGGCGCTTCATAGGTACATCAATAACACAGTGTTGCCAAGTGTGATGCGAGCACTAGAATCGGTGGGTGAGGAGAGCGCCTCCCAGCTGGCGGCCATTAGATGGAGGTACTTCAGTGGCAAGGCAGAGGGTGTCAGCCACTTGCTGACTGGAATGCAACGTCTACTCTCGGAATCACTCTATGAGTTACCTTTCTCACGAATCTTGGAGTTTTTAAATGGAACCACTAGCTACGCCTATGTATTCGACCAGTCCCACTCGATGGACATGCGAGGCAAAAGGAATCTTTTCGGGGGAGCCTCCCACAGCTCGGATCTGCCACTTCTCCTAGGTCCGAGTCTGTTCCAGCAGATAGCTCGTCGAAGATTTAGTGGCGAGGAGGAGCAGCTATGTCGGAAAGTAAGAGGAGCCTTTGCGAACTTCATTAAAAATGGCAATCCCACTCCGGGGCGAATATACGACGGATGGTTACCCTACAACAAAGAGAACCCATTCGTGTATAGTTTGGGAGAACAAGCAAAGACTCCGCAGACAGGATCAGTGGATGAATCCGAGGTGGATAAGCTACTTAAGGGGGAGTCAGAAGGTCCAGGACAAGATAGAAGCTTATCGCGTAGCAACCGCCACGATACCTATAGAGCAGCACCCTCAAATTCCTACACGGCCAGCAATCAACTGGATTCAGGATACTCCAATCACTTGCAAAAGGTTTACGGATTCTGGCAGGTGCTAATGCCACTGGAAAGAGAGGATGATTTGAGGGGAGGAGGAGCTCTGGGCCAGCGAGTTCGACTCCGGGAAGTGAGTGCCGATGCAGCACGCTACCGTCAGGGATTCTATGCAATGTTGGGACTGGTGTGCCTACTCCTGGCCTGCCTGTGCCTGTGCGTTTATCTTCTCAAAAGAGACCCGAATGCAATGCGACGACGCAGCGCATCCTCGACTTCAGATTGCTACAGCTTATGACATAAGTGGTTTCGTTGGACGACCATCTTTGGGGACCGAAAGGACGAGGTACCATCGACCTCGGGCATTGCTAATGTCGAGTCCTGGCGCAAAGGTGGTCGTGCAACGAAACGGGAGCAGGATGGAGGCGGAGCAGCTGAATTTGGAGGTGGGGAAGGCAATCTTGAGGGGGAGCGACGAGAGCAGGTCCTCAACAAACAGCGGACAAGACGTCCCCGTCAGTTGCAACCGTACGATTTCAAGATTACCCACCCTGTTGGAGGAGCAGGAGTTGGAGCAGGATTCGCAACAGGAGCTGCAGGAGGTATCAGAAATGGAGGAGGGACAAGAGTTGGAACGGGTTCGGGAATTGGAGGTACACTTGGAACTGTTGAGGAACTCTTGGACCCTGTCCCCGGCAAATTCGAGCCGAGTGTGGCTGTTAGGAACTGGCAGTACCAGTTGACTTGTGATAAGTTCTGAAAGCAACCAAAAATTTTCATTGTAGTTTTGTATATGTACTTTTAACTTAAATGTTTACACTTCTCCGTGATTAAATAAACCAACATTTTACACGTTTAATGTACGTTTATTTAAAAAAATTTCAATTTATGTTTAAACAAATTAACAAAGTTTCGTCAGCAACTCGAAGGCACCAGTACCATTTCGCACCGGGAGGCCTACCATTAGCCGACTCGACGGCGAGCTAAGCTCATCCGCTCTGCCAAATCCAGCGGCGCTCTTGAGGAACTGCAAGCTGGACTCGAAGGACATCTGCTGCAAGGGCGACGATGAGTGCTCCATGCCCTTTCGCGACAACGGCTGGAAGGTGCCGTCGAAAGTCATGTAATCGGCGATGAGCGACAGGTGGCGGCGATCCACAGTAATTCCGTAGACCTTGAACACATTGCTGACTTCCTTAACGATCACCTGGGATGCTGCTTCGATGCCGTACGTCCTGGCAATCGCGTGGATGTCGTTAGAGTAAAGGCGGTTTAGATCAAGAATCTTGTTGTGCTGGAACATCTCGCCAATGTTAATGCCATCGGTCTTGAGGAGCTGTTCATCATCGCTGCCCTTGTAGATAATGGCTCGCTTGATGTGCTGCACCTGGTGGACCACACTCTTGCCCGCCAACTCCCGGATGATGGAGGTTAGATCTGGCTTCTGGTACCGCACACTCAAATTCAACTTGACCTGGCACCACAAATGGTTCTCCTTGTCGTAGGAATACCCTTTGACCATATCGTTGCTCAGCAACCTCTCCACCGCTTTGTCATCGCCATCATTATCATTACCATCCTGAACCTTTTCCTCATCGTCCTCATCCTCCGCCTCTTCGTCATCGTCTGAAAATCAGTTGTAAGTATTAAAATCCCTAGGAATATTCAAAATATTTAGCATACCATTGGCATCATGGAGTTCCTCAACGTCATCTGGGTCATCGTAGTCCTTCTCGTCGGTTTTGCGTTGCTTAAGCTTTACTCCAGTTGCATCGTCATCATCCTTTAAAAACGGGATATATGTAGTTAACATTTTAAGTTTGGTAATGACTCAACTTACGTTATCGTCTGATGAATCATCATCATTAGCCTTCGCTTTAGAACGGCCCACTTCGTCGGCATTGTCCAAATCGTTATCATCTTCTTTATCGCCGTCCTTTTTGTCGTCTATTACAACTCTGAAATTGAAAAAGTAGTATTACTTAAGGAACTCCAGGGGCAAGAGCTCAGATTTCTTACATTTTCGTTGTCTTAGAGGCATTTGATACCTTCAGAATGGCGCGAATCAGTTGTTTAAAGAAGGTCTGGTGCATGTATTTAATTATGTGTTTGGGTCGCACACCATAGTCCTCCTTATAAACCTCTCTGGGCAGAAATTGGAAGCGCATATCATACTCATAGGCTCGTTCTGGCTCCAGGGTCAAACCAGTGCTAACGTGGACAGCTATATGAGGGAATTTTCATTATTGTATACGACTATTATATATTTCTGCACTCACACTCCAAAAGATTTGCCAGCGTCACCGAATTTAGATTTATGCGCAGCTTTTCCGCCTGATGCTGCTGACCAGGCTTAATGGGAATATCCATAGACGGCGTTTTGATGTTTGATGAGGCCAGCATGAGGATTTCTCGTAGTCGAGGAATTCCCAGAGTCACGTTCATCTCACCACGACCCGCAAAATGGAAAGTGTTCAGTGTCATCTGGGTCGAGGGTTCTCCTATCGATTGCGCTGCTATCAGACCTACTGGTTCACCTGGCGACGCCAGCGACTTAATTGTCTTTACTCGCATTATATCGGCTATGGTCTCCTTAAGTTCTGGCTTCCTCTTAGCATAATCATTAATGAGTTTCCTCGTCCTTTCTGACACACTGCCGTAATAAAGATCCTGCTTGTAGACAGCCACCGTGGGATCCGGGCAGCGGGCATACTTCTTGCGATATAAAGCCTTGTCCTCTGCATCGGCCTTTTTCCATAACTTAAGAAGGCCCTCATCAAAGCGCCGACGTCCCGTTTTGGTATTAATCTCATTGGGTCGCTTCACCTCCACCTCCTCGCGAAGCTCCTCGGAGAAATGAGTGAAGGCGGCACGTAGCTTAACTGGCTTTTTCTTTTGCCAGCTGCGGATGTGCTTCTCGTGGCGCTGGACCTTGGCCAGCTGTTCCTCGTCCTTCATCAATTGAAGATGACTGGGCCGTAGAATTGCCGTGGCGTTCTGGGTGAGGAAGTCAGCACAGAACTTATCGTTGAAAAACTTGGACTTCAGAATGTCTAAACCATCCTCGCCATACAGGAACTGTACCACACTATTGTCACTGTCGCGTACAGTGAGATCATAATGGACACTCAGGCCTTCCAGATGCTTAATAAGACAGCGCTGGAGATAACCGGAACGCGAAGTTTTTACAGCAGTATCAATAAGACCCTAAAATTTTTAAATGGTAAATAAATACTTGTTAACCAATTTATGAAAATCATTTCCCACTTACTTCACGACCAGCCATGCAATGGAAGAAGAAGTCCTGCGGCTGAATGCCGGTCATAAAGCGTCCATCGATAAAACCTCCAGACTTGGGCGATGTTTCGAAGGAAGTAAAGCTGGGGAGAGACTTGCCGGATATCATCAAAGGCGGTCGTTTTCCCTCCAACTCAATTTGTCCGAGCAGACAGGAGATTTGCATGGTGTTCACCATGGAACCCTTGGCGCCAGATAGAACCATCAATTGCAGATTGTTTGATGGGAACTTGGTAATCAGACCTCTGGGCAGACAAGTACTAGAAAAAGAAAAAAAATTAAATTTGCTTTGTTTGGCTTTGACTAAACTCACCTATTAATGTCATTTGTGTAGCCATCCAAAAGTGATTTGTATTTACGATCCAAAAGCACTCGGAACTTAGAATCCTTCACATATGCCGCTTCCATTTTTTCAACCAGCTCATCGTGCGGCGGCTCATCTTCCAATTCTAGAGCAGCAGATACCGCACTGTTTCCCACATTGCGACACTCGCGAATAATCTTTCTCCTTTTACGATCTGCTTCGCCGGTAACTAAAATATCCTTGACACCCAAAGTAAAACCTTCTAGTTGTAGGAAGAAGGTGAATACTTTCGTGAAAGCGGTGAGCAGCCGAGTTGACACATCGCCGCCGTACAGCTCGTACATGCAATGAATCAATCCAAAAGTGGTGGCTCCATACTGCTGTTTATCCAGAACGCCAACAAGCAGTTCTCCGTTTCTGATGTGCACTTGACTTTCACTTAGCTCGTTACCTTCAGGATTTGTGCCACAAATGGGCGGTCGTGGACGGGACACGTTCCAATTCTGAAAGGCCACAGGAGTTAGTCAAGCAAGAGGAATTAAATGGACTTTGAAATATAATTACCTTTCCAGCAATTTTGGCAAATGAATCCAAATTAATTCTTTCGTATCCCTCGGGAATTATGTTGGTAATAATGGTAGACAAAACCTGCTTTCCAGACCAAAGCATAGCTGGCTTTAAAATTGTCGGTGGCAGCAGTTTTATATTCTTTTTATGTTGAGATAGTCCCTGAAACACCAGTTGCTGGTAGTCTTCACGATTGAAGAATCGTCCGCGAATCGATAGTTTTACACCCGAAATCACGTGATCCTGAATGAGTCCACCTAACGGTGTGCCGTCCTTGGGCACCAAATAGTTGCTGGCCACATTCACAAGGTTGTAAGCCTCCGCCCTCGCCACCTCACTCTGCGGATAGTGGGCATTCATTTCATCACCATCGAAATCGGCGTTGTATGCCTTGCAGTTCGAGTAGTGCAGACGGAAAGTCTTTTCGCCATGCAAGATGCGAGCCTTGTGTCCCATAATCGATGGCTTATGCAGCGAGGGCTGTCGGTTAAGAAGTAGGACATCGCCGTTGAGAACGTGCCGATGAACGATCTTGACACCATCCTTTGGATTCGACAAAAGTAGCTTAGCCAAACTCTCTCGCTTGGAAGCGTTGTCTGCCGGTATATACGTGGTGAATCCGTTCTTGTCCTGTATGTAGTTCGCTCCGGGGTGCACGTCCGGACCGTTCATAACCATTTTGCGCAGCTCTGTAACATTCCATTCGGTCACGGGAACGGGATACGACAGTTTCTTCGCAAAAATATCAGGGATGCCGATCTCATCTACATTTATATTGGGATCCGGGGTAATAACAGTCCGAGCGGCGTAATTTACACGTTTGCCCATCATATGGCTACGAATGAGACCACTCTTCTTTTCAATGATCTGTTTCAGACCTTCACCAGACTTCATTTCTCGGGACATATTCACATCGAGGAGCACATCCACCGACATTTGAAGAGCTAACCAAGCCGCATACAATTTCTCATGGGCTGTGTCGCCCTTTAGGGTCTGATAGGCGGCCTTAGCCTCGTCTGTGAGCTTCTCCTGGCCACCCTTCATGTACTTGAGAACGACATTCAGTACATGGTTGTTTTCAATGATGTTAATGTAGATGTCCGTTTGGGGATTTCCCTTCAGCATGTCGCCGACCATGTTCAGTGGTCGAGCGCGCGGCGGCGTCACCGGAATCGTGTCCATGAAAAACAGATCCACCGGCGATCTATCGCCCTGAGTCAAATCCGTGTTGCTCAGCCCCAAAACAGGCACTAGGAGCTTCAATAGATCAGGGTAATTTGCGTATATCTGGCGCAGATAACGACGGCATTCGTCTGCGAAGATAACTTTATTCTGACCACCGGTCTCTGTGCCCGTGCCAACGCTGAAGAACGAAAACAATAGAAGTTAGAAATTATATCGTAATGTGTTGGACTACCTACCGTTCTTTAATGTCTGCCAACGTCACGTAGAATACCAGCCTGCGATGCATATAACGCACGAAACGCATGGACTTGTTACAGTGCCTGCACTTTTTGCCCAGTCGCTGCAGTGCCGCATGCGTAATGGCCGTGCGGAGAGAACAACTCGTTTTGGTGGAGTTGCTGGAGTTCTTCTCATTCTTTTCCAACAGACTATACATGGCAGCAATGTGTGGGTGCACCTTATCGCCGTTTTTAAGGGCCACCAGATCGTCGGTGTTTTGGCACACAATTTCTGACTTGAAGAGTTCCAACTCCTGGGCCTCGATGATGTAGCCCGCATCGATTAGGCGCAGCTGCAGCATGATTATCTCACATTCGTGATCTACAATAGAGGACCAATTAGCAACGCATGATATATAAAAGTGAGTAATTGGTTACCTTTCATCTGGAGCTTGTAGCAGTGCAAACAGAATATGCAGAGAAGTCGCTGCACGAACTTGATGAAGAAGGGATTGTAGACGGGCGTGCCCAGCTCGATGTGGCCCATGTGGCCCGGGCAGTCCTGCAACTTAAGACACGTCCCACAGGGATCCATGCACCTGCCGTAGGAGCCCATTCGGATGTCGTACAGACCACCGGGTATCGCGTGTCCCAGTGCATCGAACGTGATGCCTGTGATCACCTTCACCACGCTCAGTTTGCGGATCTCCTGGTCCGTAAACACGGCGAACTCCAGGTCCGAGGGGAACATGTGCACGTCCATCGCCCGCTTAGAACCCATGTTGCCTTATTTAAGCCACGATTTTTATAAAAACTCCACAAAAAAGATGAGCGCAACAGGCGCGCACGTGTGTGGCGTATTAGGGGTGAAACCGAAAACGATTTTAACGGTCAATCTGCTTATCGAAAATAGCTATCGGTTTTGGTTCATCTTTACCTCAACAGCTGGTTTCTTGTGTTTTGAGAAAAATTTGTATTTCTTTGGATTTGATAACAAACAGCGTCAATATGTTAACTTCCATGGTTAAGGAGCACCACAAGGAGCAGGCGAAGCGGAAACAGGAGCAGGGTACAAGACCTATTGTAGTTTCTGTTTGACATTAAGGCTTACAAGGCTGCATTTTCAGAGGTGCGGCGAAAGGAGGCTATAGAAGCGTCAAATGAGCTCACCCAGTCTCTGGTGGACACCCTAAATGTGGGCGTGGCTCAAGCCTACTTGAACCAGAAGCGCCTGGACGCCGAGGCCAAGCAACTGCATTTGGGCGCAACCAATTTCGCCAAGCAGACCCACCAATGGCTTCAGCTCATCGACCAATTCAGCACTGCCCTAAAGGATCTCGGCGATGTGGAGAACTGGGCACGCAGCATCGAGGGGGATATGCACGCGATTAACCAAACCCTAGAGCTGGCCTACAAAGCCTCCCGAGCGACACAGTCATCGAGCGGAGCTGGCAATGTCGTGGAAGCCTCGACTTCAATGTCGGCAAAAGCAAATGCTAGTGCTACATGAGCGTTTTCCAAAAAATACATTGTATTGTACTTTTATCCTGTAAAGATCCTTTGAGTAAATGTAAGCCCATACCAACCAAGTTACTCTTAGTTAAACTGAAATTTAAATTAGCTTAAGTAATTGAAATCTGCGACCAACCAATTTAATAAAACACCATAATCGTCGAGTTTCTGTACAACTTCAATTTTATTTTGTACCTGCTGCACAATTACAATTATAATTAATATAAGTTTAGTTTTGTTATCATTATCAGTTTGCTGCAGTTCCTTTAAAATACATATCACAATCTATGCGGACCTCTGTATGCAATGTTGGTAATTGATTTGATATTTACAAACTACCTTTTTGTACAGCATCAATAATGGTTAACGAATAATTATGATAAAAAGCTGTTTTGGGTGAATAATGAATTTGAAAATTAGTCTAGTTGTGAGCTGTTTGCCAACCAAATGCCTTAGATGGGATGGTTTCACCAAAACACAGTATTTCAGTCGTATGCTCCTCTACAGACCGTTTGACGCAATCCAGTTGGGCCAACTTAGGAGCATGAGTTAAGGAAGTAGCCCCAGTAGATCCCAAGGCGCTTTAATAGCGCGATGAAATGCGACCTATTTGGGTAAAATGTACAGTTTAAATGCTTGATCACAACGCCTTCGAAATAAAATTTACGTGGATGTGGAGAACGCGAACGGCTGTAGCTTTTGTTGCGAGTATAGCGGTGGCGACTAGAGCTCCTGCGGAGGCTACGATCGTAGCGATCGTTGCGGTACTTATTGCGATCACGATAGTTGTCATTGAACGAAGAAGAGCGATCGCGAATCTGACGACGTCCTCCACGCGGCGAACGGGAGCGTCCAGAGTATCCACGTGAAGGACGACCCATATACACACCCGGAGTTGGTGTGTGGGCCCGTTGGGTTATGGAGAAATCAACGCGAATGCGGCGACCATCTACTTCAATGCCGGAGCAGGAGTCCTTGGCCACACGGGCATCGTTGAGATTCTCAAAGTAAATGAAACAGAAGCCCCGGGAACGCTGAGTCTGTATGTTAGAAGATATAAAGGTTTAATATACAGACCAACTTGATTTTATTTTAATTTTTTTTTTTTTTTTGGTAAAACATGTTCTTCAAACAATATGCAACTGTGACAGCAAGCCTTTAGCTTTTAGTTTGGAATACACAAAAACTCACAATCGCTGTCTAAATTCTATCTAGCCAGAAATTGAGACAAAACTGCAGGGCTTCAGCCGATTTGTCTACACAATGGGATTCAGGCAGGAAAATACCTTAGCAATGCTTATCAAAAACCGACTTACATGTGCGTCAATCACCATCTGGATGCGTTCGATGGGTCCGTACTTGTTGAATAGCTCACGGACCTTGTGCTGCGTGGTGTTTGTGTTCAGCCCGAATACTCCTATGCAGCGGGTGGCTTGTGGATGTTCCTACAACGGCGAAAATCTTTAGGATTGAGTGGATGGATATATGGACAAAATGCTTACGCGAGCCTTGTGCATTCGCATGCGGTCGCGGGACGAACGTCCAGAATGATGGCGCGGTTCCGGATGCGGCGACATCGAGCCGGAACGCGAACGGGAGCGTCGGCGGGATGAGGACCGCTGCTGGCGGCGACTGCCATAGTACTCGTAGTCAGACCTTGATTCGATGTAGAATGGAATGAAAATAGATTATCTTGCGGTTTGTTCTTGCGGGCCTTGCTAATTGACAGTTGGAAAATTGTGTATTTCGTGTGTATTTCGGTTAGTTCTTGCAGGTCTTGCTATCTGACAGTTGGAAAATTATGTGTAGCTCGTGTGACTTGACAAATGCTTTGGTTGGGTTGTATTCAATTCAGTCGGAATTGTTTCGGCCCAATTCTTCGGTAGTTGGACGTACAAAGAAAATTAGTGCTTCGGGAGGTTCTTACATAGTGCTGTTGTGGTTGGTTTCTTCCAATAAAATGAAATCGGCTTGAAGGCTTTTTGGTTTTACTTTCTTGGCAAGAGCACAAGCTTTCTCGGCGAGGGTTTAAATCCAAATGAAATGTCCCTATGACAGATGAACCTTTTTCCAAACTGCCAGTCAAAACTACTCGATGCTTCATGTCAAAAAAGGTATCGTTTAGGGGGTCGTCTCACATCTGTGTGTACACACATTTACCTGCGCTCCTTGTGTCCGGATGAAGTTGTCCCCGCTGACGAGGATGATGCTGACCGCTTGTGTTTGTAACGGGTGCTGCAATGGAGACTCCCGCTACTAAGTATTCCCAATCCACTTGGTTTTTGCTTACCTATCGAATTTACGATGTATATAGTTTCGCTCTTCGGAGCAATGCGCTGACTTTGTTGGCGAAAAAATAATATGAATGGGTGCACACTACTTGGATTGCCCTACTTACCATGTTTAAGGGTTTGATTCCCTACTAAATTGCACACACTATCAGTGTTTAACAATTAAATGTTAGCCTTTGGATGGTTTTATTTATTCTGTCTGCGTTTAAGCAGACGCACGCTTCGACAGGGGTGGCGATAGGCGGGAACGTTATCGCGTTATCGATAGGCACCCTTAACACTTAAGCGGTGCTGTTATCCGATTTGAAAATAACCACCACAAGTGGAATTTAAAAACTAGTTAAAAGTGCCTGAATATTAAATGAAATCAGCCTATTTATTATGTACTTTATTCAAAAAATATAAGACTTTTATCACATTTTTAATAACTAGATTTTTGGATACTCCACTTTATGGGCCTTGCTTTTAGAAAGTTTGCACTATAAAATTACTTTAAGACAATTTAATTCTAAATCACAGGTTCGGTTAGCGATAACGAGAAAACCACATATTCTTCACCATCACATAATTATATAGCCTCTGGTGTTCCAGATGATGCAGATCCGTGATTGTTTTCACCACTCGCTCGTCGTTAAAGTGACTTTTAGGAGGTGCTTCCAGGAGATTTCCCTTCGTAAACCACTTGAGGTTAGAAAAGTGCTTCTTTACACTGTCCCGCAGAGCAGCTCCACTAAAAACTGGGGTGCGATACATATCAAACATATTCTTCTTGCCGTACTTCTCGTGGATTTCATCAACGGTCTTGTCCAGATCGGGCTGCTTGGCGTAATAGATTACCCATAGTTTTCTCTGTGGGGCACGCAAATCTGTCAAGCTAAGAACTCCAAAGAATTCCACTACGTAGGGATTGAGTTTGGGGTTTTCAGCTTTTGGTTTTATATAGAACAAACGCCTCAAATGGTTGTCGATTTCCTCAACCAGGTCGTAATCACCTTCTGCAAATCGGGTATTAATCATCATTGACGTTCCAATACATAATTTGCTATTTTAGTTACCTGAGTTTTTGTCTTTAGCTGAATTTGTTGTCATAATTTAACAATGTGGTAACTGTTTCTTCTCTGAATTCCGAATGCGTGTTATCTTCCTACGCACTCTTCTTAAATACCCAACACATAATTTCAACTGATTTGTAAAAAGTTGACTTTGTTTTGTTTACGATTTTCAATTTCACAACAAAATAAAGAGCTTTTAAAAGCAACCCTGTGGACTATCGATAATCAGTGGGCTTTCTATTTATTTGCATAATTTTAGTACCTATTATATGCGTATAAATAGGGTATATTATGTTGTTAAAAAGGTCGATTGGATGGGTCGACATATCCAGAAATAACTACAAGATAATTAGTTTAGAAACGAAAACGCCACACTTTTGGTGATTTTTATATGTTAGATTGCCTATATATTTATTTATTAAAGTATTTATCAGTACGTCATAACCAATAAATTTCAATCAAACATATATGGGTTCCAAAAAATATCAACAGATGTCGCTGATAGTCGATTTTCGTAGTTAGTTTAATGTTTTGCAGGTGGTGGCTTTTGATCATTATAGCGCTTAAACCAGTCGTGTTGTATCATTATATAGTCGAAGATTCTTTTTAGCTCCTTCTTATGCAAGTCTGAAACTGTTTTCACGAGTCTTTCATCATTATAATAACTATTCAATGGAGCTTCCAAGATATTTCTGCTTGTAAACCATTTTAAGTTGCAGAAATATTCTCTTACGATTTTATGAAATCCCACTCCGCTGAATGTGGCGATCTGAAATATTTCTCTGACATGCTTTTTGCCATATTTCTTACGAGTCCTTTCCATAACCCTTAACCTTTCTGATCTAAGGCCATAATAAATGTACCACCGTTTTTGGGTGGCGACAGGTGACTCGTTAATACTAAATACTCCGAAGTATTCAATCGCTTCAGGATCCAAAGGAGTGGGTTCTGCGATCGGCTGCATATAAAATAGACGTCTCCAGTACTTTTCTAACTTATCGTCCATGTTGGCCCGATTCCGAGCTACAATGAAATAAAAAAACTTAAGGTGATTCATAGGCTTTACCCACTGACAAGCGTTCGGCAATTATGCCTACCTACCTAAGCAAACTTTGAAAGAATACTGGTTAGCATTTATTGGCATTATTATATTAAAGCTTGATTCTAAGAATTCTTATATAGAAATGAACATCTGCTATGCATTAATTTGTAGATATGTGTACGACTTATACAGGTTACTCCTAGACATAAGGTAGTCGTAATATTTCCCCCTTTCGTCCTTATATAAATCTGCGATTGTGTTTACCACTTTTTCATCATTAAAGGAGCTGTCTGAGGGGGCTTCCAATATGTTTCCTTTCACATGCCACTTGAGTCCTTTGAAGTGGTTCTTCACTCGGGATCGCATGCCGGCCCCTGTATACACAGGTTTTCTGAACAGTTCGTACATATTCCTTTGGCCATATTTACGGCGTGGCGTTCGAATATCGTTTAAGCTCAGAACCCCAAAATACTCCACATCATTTGGATCGTACTCATTTTTAGTATCGATTTCTTTAAGGCAGTACACTCTTCGCAAATACGTTTCCAATCTCTTTTATAGATCGGGATATGCGCCTGCAGATTGTTATTTACGTCATTATAAAATGCCACTGTGAAGTTAAAACTAAACTTACTATTGGGAGCTTCCCCACATGTGGTCATCTTGAAAACCTTGTTGATAATAGAAATGGTTCTTCCCCTGGGCGACTTTTACACCTACTGCTTGGTTATATTTCACAAGAGCTTTTAAATTTCGCCACTAGCTGTATAAGCTTCGAACGAAATATCATTTTTCTTGTACCTTGTGATTAAAAAAATAATTCAGGGTGGATTTGAACGGTTTTATACTTTAACCTTAACCTTATGCGTCTCTACATAAATATACAATTTTTTCGTAAGCTTACCGCTTTTTATAAAAATAATGGTTTAAGTTTACTGTAATGTTTATCTTATATAATAATTAAGATACTTAATAAATATGCAATGATAACTTTAAAATATATACTTCAAAAACCCACACTGAATAAAATATTTAACCATTTATTTTCAAAAAAAATTAGAGGATGGTGCGAAAGGTATAACAAATTCTTCATTATAGAATTACAAAATTATCTTCTTGCGTTCAACGAAGTAATTAACTCTTAATTAACAGTGCTAAAGTAACTTAGAATACTTTCCAACTGGTTTATAGTCTTTCCCCTGCTATATAATAACCTCCGTAGAGTCGTCGAGCTCGCCCTTGATCTCCATGTGCCCCACGCTGCTATTGGAGTCAGGCAGGATACTTTCTTCTGGCTGCAACGCGTGGTTGATGATGAACACATTCGGATTTCCAGTGGTACTCAGACTCATTCCGGCGGGGGATACAAATTCGGCAGCAGGGGTCTCATCCGAAACTGCATTTGATGACGCTTTTGATTTCGCTCGTGCAGCGGGTAATGATGTGGTCTTGGCCAAAGTCCTTACCGGCGTCGTTTTCTCTTTGCACAGCACCGTCTTCTGCACAGCTGGTGAAGAATTAATCGACGTTAGAGTGCCCGATGCGCCTGTTTTTTTCTTGGCATTCATCCTTGGTGCTGGCATAGACACTGTTGTGTTTAGATTGACGAACTGCCAGGAATAATAAATTGTGTATAAATAAAAAATTCAATTTTTGTCGTAAAATATAACTACCTGACTAGTGTTTGCTACAAAACTTTTTGGCTGCACCTTTCCTAGAGCTGCTGTTGCTTTGGATGTGGAGGCTCTCACAGACGTGCTGGTGGCAGCAGATGAAGACTTTCGCCCTGCCGCCGATTTAGAGGGGGTACACTGAAAGCCAATTGTGTTCTGGGCCCCATCATAAAGGGGTATAGTTGCGGGGAGGGAACTGCGCTTCTGAAGATGCTCCAAAGATGTTTTCGTCCCTTGCGATAGGGTGTCGGAGGAGGCGGTCGTAGAGCTCACGATGCTTTTGGAAAGCGTCGAGATGGTGGCTGCGCTCAGACTGGAGGAATTAGCAGTAGCGCATGTCGTCATCGAGTTGTTTTGGGCGGAGGGAGTCATTGTGCTGGTAGCCTTGTTTAAGTAATGTACATAGTTCTCCAAAAGCTTTGTACCCACATCCACGTCGATGGCCATTAATGAGCTGGTCCTTACGATCTCCTCAATGGTCCGCTGTCTCTCGGACACTGATAGGTTGGCTGCCCGTCGGCTGAGAGTCTGGAGCACCAAGTCAAACACTTGTACCCTCGCCTGCAGGTCCACACGCTGCTTGTCCTTGGGGCAAATCGGTGGTAACTGAATAAGCGACGGCACCATATTGAGTGCCATCGAGGTGCTGGGTAATGACGGAATGGTAGCCACTGATTGCACTGACTTCTTGGTCAGCGTTGTGCCACGTGGCAACTGTTTGCTTAGGGAATCCAAGTTCGCCGAAATTAGCATTGAAGTGGGAGACGAGCTAGGTGGAACTACGGGATCCACGCTTGTGGGAATATTAAAGGAACCTGGAGCAGGCAGGGGAGCCGAAAGCAAATTCTGTATAATCGATGCAAACGGTTGAGTTGACGGACCAACCGAAGCGGGAGCAGGTGGAAGAGGTGAAGGAGCGGTGGCATCAGCAGTCGGAGTATTGGCCGTAGGGGTCAGTTTACTGGAATCCCGTTCTTTAGTTCTGCCCAGTAATTCCAGCTTGGCCCGCACCTTATTTGGCATATTCTTATCCGCTTTAGAGATGAACTTGGTGGTTATAACCAGGAACTGCGGGACTTCCAGCACCGGTACCTCGGCCTTCGAATGCAATCGAGTAAAATCAATGGCCCGCATTGGACCATCGAGATTTGGACAGCAGAAGTCTAGACCCACGTCGTCATAGGATCGCTTGTATCGTTTCGGGTAGAGAAAGGAGAACATTTTGGTCTGCCCAATGACATTGGGGTTTCCGTCAGGGGCACTGGCGGAGGGAATTGAACGTAAGTCTGCCGGCCTAGATGAAGTGGAGGCACCTAATGTGCTGATTTGAATAGTGGCGGGCGCAGCGTCCTCGGTATTCGAATTTAGTTGATGCATTGGTGGTGCTGTAGCAACCACATGCAATGGCTCATTAGGTGAATGCTCATCCGTGACATCTTCTGGCTCTGACTTTACCTCTTGAATTGGTACAGGAAGTGGCATAGACTTGGCGTGGAACATTTGTACCCTACGCTGTTCTGCTAGCTTCCTGGCACTTTCCAGCAACGTTGACTCGTCGGGAAGTTGATTTTCAGTCAATGGATAGATAGCAGTCTTCAAGGGTGTCTTAGCTGGCAGGACAGGTGTCTGTTCATTTTCGAGTGCAATGTTTGAAGCGGGTGCAGTCGATGAATCATTAGTTGCCGATGGAACATAATCTGCAATGGCAGCTAGTTGATCTAAGCTTTCCCCCTTTTCAAGTTCTGAGGCTGGCGCTGGATGAAAATCAGGCTGGGATGCAGGCTGTGGCTGAATAGCCGCCAATGGCTGTACTTGTTGCCGCATTGATTCTGACATTGACTCAGCTGCTGAATCTGTTTCTGAGGTTTCACCAAGCAGTGGTAATGACGTTGCATTACGAGATCCTTCTTGTGTTTTGTTCTCCTGCGTGCTCCGAAGCCATTTATGAAAAGGCATCCGATTTATTTTCACGCAAAGTTTGCGGAGCTTAGCTTTTTGAAGGACTGTATTACCCGTCGAGTGCCCTGCTAGGGGATTAACAGAAGATGCAGCAGTTATTTTCACTGGAAACGCCATAAATGCAGTTTCCCGGACGTGAACATCCTGCTCAGGGGGGTCCTCCTCCTGCAACTCTCTGGGTCTCTTGGGATTGATCACCTCTGTACCATCATCTGCTTCGTCCGTTTTTCTTTTTAAATCAAGTTGCCGGTTCTGTCCGCCTTTTCCACGATGCTTCACCAAAGTCTGTGATTGCTTCAGTGCTTTTTTTTGATCCGAAACAGGCGTAAAGCGCTCCTTAGAAGCATTTCGTTGCCTGTCGGACATGGGAGTTGGTGTTGGTGCCAATGACCTGTTGCTGCTGACAGCTCGGGTCATGTGACCAGGCATATTGGAGATCCCTTGGAGTTCAAGAAAGGGATTATCAGATTTATCCGATCGAGAGGAATCCATTGGGTCACTAGCAGCTTCCTCTTCCAAGGAAAGGAGCTCAGTCTTGGGTTTCGACTTGCGCTGATCCGTTTTGGTTTTCTTGTGTGCTCCGCGACCTTTAACCATTTTCTCGATTTCACCGGCTTGGAGTATGTTGTCAGTTTCTTCGGGCAATACTGCTTTTGAAGCAGTTTCAGATTTCGAGACTTCTAGTTGAGGAAGTCGTTTTCTAGCAGTAGCAGTCAAAGCGGTTCCTTCAGATTTTCTACCATCCATTTTACTGAAACGTTGGACTTGGGACGTATCTTTTCGAGAATTAGATTCTGATAAAGAGCCCTCAGACTTCCTGCTTTCCAGTTTCCTTGAAACTTCCAATTGCGGAAGTGGTTTCCGTCCTGTCACCGCTGCCGTTTTCTTTGAAGATTCTGTTTCCTCGGATTTTAGGGATTTCATTTGATTGCCTTTTACTATGGATTTTTTCTTGCTCTCCGTTTTCTTACTGCCCTCCGATTTCTTGGTCGACTTCTGTGCTTGAAGTTGTCCCTTTTTTGTCATTAGTGGTGATTCGGATGTCGATGCAGCAGTAGGCAAAGTCTCCGCTTCAGTGTCCTTCGTTTGCAAGAGGGAAACGGATATATTTACCTTTCTTGGAGCAACAGCAGACGTTTTTTTAGGAAGCGCAATGGAGCTGCTTGAGATAGACGGATCGTCCACGTTTTCATCGGCATCTGATTTTTTGAAGGATTTTCTGATTTTCAGTGGAATACCATCCTCTCCTGTCGAAGGTTTGTGTAGACTAAGATTGGAACTCAGCAAAGTTTGCACCATGGGCTTTTTGACTTCCGCGGCTGGACTATCAGATGGATGAAGCTTTTTGGCTGGTGTCCCAAGGATGATATGCTTAGTGATTTCAACGTGCTTGGATTCCTGTATCGCCGACTTCCGTGAAGCTGGAGATGTCGTCTCGCCTTTGTTTTCCATAGTGGGCGCTGTTGTGGATGACATGATAGTCTCATTACCTATAATAGAGATAAATTTGCCCTGGACAGGGGACTTGGCTTCAGACTCCATCTTTGAACGCTTAAGAGATGATCCTTCTTTTTCGTCAGCGAGTTGTTTGCGGCGAACTGTAATTAAGCAGATGATAGGTAATATTTAGAGTTGTGATGTGAGTAAACTATGTGGAATATGATTATGGGACTAATTCTAGACTCACCTGCTTTAACTGGTTCCTTTTTGCCAAGTAACGATTTCTCCATATATTGACGTTGCTTTCGTTTAGCAGCTTCTAGATGAAATGAAAGGATGAGAAAGAAAATATTTGTAAGATACGCAAATATACTGAAAAAACAAAATGTAATTATTTGGCAAGCTATTAACCATCTCGATGTGAAGAATCCGCTTCCCGCTTGCGCAAACTGCGCTTCACCACGCTGGATGTACTGGGTTCGGGATCATCCATGACACTTGTTGTTTCCGATGAGTCTGGAATTGGGCTTTCGGCGAGTTCCTCATCATCTGTTACATCAGTTTTTGGCTCGGCTACAACCGATTTAACAGTAGAATTATCCTTTATTTCAAGGTCCATCTCCTTGGGGGTTTTTGCAGTGGGATCAGAATCGTCTTTTACCGTTGCCTTATCCGGTTCTTGATCTTTTGAGCTCTCCTCATTTTCAGGTGCATCTCTTGCCGTGCTATTATTGGGAACTTCCTCTTCGGTCAACTCCTTGGTTGCTGTATTCTCGAGTTCAGTCGCACAAATTAACGAGTTAAGTACTTCGACCTTTGATTCATGCAAAACAATAATATCCGTTGCCTTGTTTGATAAGTCGTCCTCAGTAGAATCGTCTGTAATAGGATTTTCATCCTTTGCGCGAACGTCATTCACTTCCATTTCTTGATCGTCCTGTTTCTTTTTTGAGTCATTGTTTGTGTTGTCAGCAGAAACCTCCTGTGTCTCCTTAGAAGCATCTTCATTTAAGTTTTCCTTTGTTTCAAGATCCTTATCAGGATCAGACTCGGGATTAATTTCACCTGAAGAAATAGGTGACTTAATATCACATTGCTCAAGAATTTTGGCCAAGCGCTTCGATTTCGCGGGAGTTTTCTTAAAGATAGACTTCCTTGAACTTGTGGGCAAATTGGAAGTGGGTGTTCTTTTTATTAGCACACGCAGCTTTCGACAGGATGCTGTAGGAGTACCGAGTTCTTTTTCGAGTTTTGAAGTCGAGGATTCAGAAGCTACTTTCTGACTATCCTCAAAACACTTGTCAGATTTTCTTGTCTCCTTTGAAACATTTCGTTTTGATTTTGCTGATCTATTAGGCGTTATGAAGGTGTTTTTGGTTTGATCGCTGCTTTTAGTTGGAGTAGTATGAAAAACAATCAGCGAGTTCTTCGTACTTAAAGGAATGATATCGGAATTTTCTGTCAAGGTTTGATCAGCAATTACATGTTCGTTGAGATCCTTTGTCGGACAGGTTTCCAAAATTTTGCTATTATCTTGATCAGACGCCTCTATTGTCAAGACATCACTTATAGTTTTAGTGTCGGCTTTTGGTGTGGTATTTAAGTCCTCTGGTTTCGGGTCGTTGTCAGGATCTTCTGAAAAAGCTAATGACGGTGTTTTGTTTTTTGTATTCATTAGGTAAGTTTTCGTTGGAATTTTTAAAGTCGGCATATCGGGTTCCACAGTTTCAGAACTGAAAATGTCTCTGTTCTGGTTTTCCTTGATCTGAGTAATCTCAAAATCATCCTTGGGATTCTCAATGGTAACAGCCAGCCTACGATTCCTTATCCTTCCTATTTCTGTTTGAGAAGAGTTTGGTTCTTCGTCTGTTTCATCAGATTTAACCTTGTCCTTTTTATCGGACTCGGAAGATGTAGAACATGTAGCTTGAACGGTTTCTGTATTTACGTCTAAACGATTTTCAATATCAGATTCAGCAATACTATCATTAGATTTCTTTTCGTTTTTCTTACGTTTGTTTCTGGACTTTGCTTTCAAGGGTCTGAGCTTAGTGGAATCCTGTAAAGAGTCTTTTGAAATAGGTTCCGCGTCCTTTTGTGAAGTAGATTTTGTTTCATTTGCGGTCGCATTTAACTTTGAACTATCCTCATCATCATTTTTAATATCTTTCTCTTCGGGTTTCTTATCAGCCTGTTTACTGTCGTTCCCGGTTTCTCTTAAATGTGGATCCGACTCTCCGCCCTCGTTTATTTCATCCAATTTATTCTCCTGATCCTGCACGATTTGCTCTGGACTGGATTTTAAAGACATAACCTTGTCCTTTTTATCGGACTCTGAAGATGTAGAACATGTAGCTTGAACGGTTTCTATGTTTAGGTCTAAACTATTTTCAATATCAGATTCAGCAATATTATCATTAGATTTCTTTTCGTTTTTCTTACGCTTGCTTCTGGACTTTGCTTTCGAAACTCTGAGCTTAGTAGAATCCTGTGAAGAATCTTTTGAAATAGGTTCCTCGTCCTTTTCTGAAGATTTTCTTTCATCTGTATTCGCATTTAACTTTGTACTATCCTCATCATCATTTTTATTATCTTTTTCTTTGGGTTTTTTATCAGCCTTTCTACTGTCTTCCACGGTGTCTTTTAAATGTGGATCCAAATCTCCGTCTTCGTTTATTGCATCCATTTTATTTTCCTGATCTTGCATGATATGCTCTGAACTGGAATTTGATGACAATTTCGTAGAAGATGACTCCTTTTTATTTGAACTGTCACTCGATTGCATTTTACTCCCTGAACTTTTATTATATTTTTCATCGATTATTTTCTTACTGTTTGACGTTTCCTTCTCGTTAAGTGGGCCGACTACAGTTTCGATTGTGTTACCAGACTGCTCTATACTTTGATCCTTTTTAGAGGCGGTTTCATTTAAAATTAGAGTTATTTCAGTGGACTGAGATTTGACGGACGGATTTTCGTCCTTTTCGGATTTGGCCGCATCAATAACAGACTTATCCTTACGACTTAATCTGCTGGAGTGTCGCTCATCCTTAGCAGAGACAGGATCACATTGCTGAACCTCGCTTGTCATAGAAGCATTCTCCCCTTTCTTGGCGTCCAAATGGTCGGAAAGTGTGTCGGTCTCAGTTTTGCCTTTTTCATTTCGAATCCTCCTGGATTTTCTGCGATTTGATCGTTTTTCCTCAACTTGTACCGTATCAGCTTCAATAGCATTGGATTGTTCTAAATATGGGTTGGTATTATCTATTGGCGGTTTTGGACAAATGGAGGAGTCCTTGTCGTCTTTCTGCTCTGATTCGCTGGAAGTTGAATATTCTTCAACACATTTTGAAGAAGAAGGTGGCTCTTCAATGGAATCTACTATTCCCCTGTTAACTTCTGTCTCATGGGTCCTACTCATTTTTTTTGTCTTCAACGATTTACCCTTTAACTTTTTCATTTCAGTCTTACTGGAGCTAGGTTTTCCTTCGGTCAGTATGGAAGTATCTGCTGCTGTAGTTATTTTGGTTTCCTTTACGTCATTAGTTTCAGGCTCGTCAGGAAGCGACATTAAGTCTTTCACTTGTTCCTTTTCTTTTGTTGATAAGTCTTTGGCCAACTTGGAGACTGTCACTTTCTTTTCCACCGGAGAGCGTTCTTGTGAAGAATGGCTTTCCGCTGGCGACCTACCAAGCCTTGGACTGCTTCGTCTCATTGTATCATCCATAAGTAGTGTAAGCTCTGTTTTTAGAGTCCGTTTTGACCGACTTTCCCTTTGGTTTTGAGGAGTTCCCTTGTCAGACCTTAGAGCTCGTCGTGACACCGAACTTTGCAAAGCTTCTACTTCTTTCGATTTCTTGGAGGTATTAACTGGAGAGGAATGATTTCGTTTCTTGGATGGACTGACTAAGCTAGATGGAACATCAGATCCAGGCATAGACTCGACTTTGGGAGTTCGATTTTGTTCCTTAGCAGGCGTTTCCTGTTTTTCAACTGTATTTTGGTCTGGACCAGGCGAGTGTTCTTCTGCAGGTGGTTCATCCTTACTAGAAGATAGTGCCTTAACTGGAGTCTGCTTTTCCACTGGATTTTCATCATCAGCTATAGTTTGGCCTTCAACTGAAGATTGTTTTTCAGTCTGAGCGGGCACGACTTCCGAAATCGTTTCTTGCTCTAATTCTTTGACAATTTCAATGACTGGATCTTGTCCTCCTTGCACTGATTCCGCTGATACCTCGTTAGCTTCAACTCCCTTACCAACCTGAGCGGCTAAGATCTCTTCAGCCAATTTAATATCCTCAGCCAGCTGGGAGTCGCTTTCCTCAAGTATATTTCCCGATACTGCCTTTGCAAGTACAACTGGTAATGCAACTCCATCAGTAACTGTAACTGAATTTTCCGTCTTAGTTAGTTCTGTTCTTGCATTATCATTGGATTCCATTAAATTGTCAGTGGACGATTCCTTCCGAGTTTCCTCCTTATCTGAAGCTAAGTCTACATCGTTCAATTCACTAGGATTATTTGAACTTTCGGATACTTCGTTGTAGTCCTGTGCAGTATCAAATGTTTCGGTAGATGTATCCAATTTAGAAATCGGTTCATCTTCGACCTTTGGCGCAGACTCAGACTCATGCAGTCCAACCCTGTCCGGAGCACATTTGAGATCCGTTTCGTGGTGACTTGATGTCATTTTAATATCATCCTGGGGTAAATTTGTAGGTCCTGTAAGCTCTTTGGCATTGTGTAACTCGCTAATAAGTTCATTCTGTTTTGTTGGCTCTTCCAAATTAACCGTTCCCGGTTTTTCTTCAAACGCTTCTCTTGAGAGAGGAACATTTTGGTCCAAGTTTTCAATTGGATTTGTAAAAGTCTCTTCTGTTGTAGTCTCCTCCTTTGGAATATATTTGCGGGGCCTTCCGCGTTTTCTTTTGCCTAAAACTCCTTCTCTATCCGGGGCAATGGGAGTTTTTTCCTCTGTGGTTGCTGCACGGTTCTTACGTTGCTTTTGGCACCGAGCCCGCCCTCGCTTTGGATAGGACTCACTCTTCGACCGACGCAATTTGGTGCCTAAAGGTTCCGATTGATCAAGTTTTTCGCTCGAGTAAGTTAGCTTGCGCACGTGACTCAATTGCGAGAAGCTAGAATCCGCTGGAATCTTAGATCTGGATAAGCTACGCGTCTTTGAGCCCGATCGCTTTTCGAACTCATAAGATCGCTCCACATCTATTTCCAAGATTTGCTCAGCCAGGTCAAGACTCATACGCTCCACAGCCTCAAGCGTGACATTGTCATCTACGTCATACAGCTTGCGACTGCCGCTGGCCTTGCTGGCCGAGGATTTAGCACTGCTGCTTGCCTCCGGTGGCTCCAAATCCCGCTCCTTTTCATTCGCCTCTTTGTCACTGGCTGCGAAACAAAAAGCAGAAAGAGTTACAAATGTAAGGGTGTAGCAGGGTTAAGGGTTCACAGGGGCGCTCAGAAATGGACGCCCCAATGGACGTTGGTGCACACTTACCCGCTGATCGCTCATTAGCATGCTTAACCTGTTGTGTAGAAGAGATTTTCTTTTCGTTGGAGCGGGATTTTTTAGCACTATTCTGTTTCTTATAGATTGGCGGCGCCTCGGCGCAACTGAGATTACTCAAGTACAACTGCAGGCGTTCATAGGTGCTGCTCAAAAAAGACTCCTGATCATTCTCAGGGCGCTGATTCAGCTCACTCTTCGGCTCCTGGCCCTCGTCGTCGGAAACAACAGGTGTCACAGTGTCTACACGGTTTATGTGTGTTTACATATTATGAATATTATCAGAGGGTTGGCAGTATCAACTAGTTAATAGCGCTGACTTACCCGCCACCGATGTGGTCCTGCTTGTGTCCGTTGAAATGTCGATCACCGGCTCATCTTCTTCATCGGAGTCTCGATCGCCGTAAAAGTCAGATTCGTACTCATAGGACGAATCGCTGTCCGAGTCCCCGTATAAGTCACCCAAAGCTGTGGGGAATACAAAATAGTTAGCCACAGCCAAAATAGTTAGCACAATCTTGATCTTACTTAATGGATCTGTTTTGGGTTCATGCCGCGAAGGCATTAGATCTCTTTTTTGGGGCTTTACGATGGTCACCGTCTTGTTTTTGGCGGAAGCCATTCTATCACCATTTGCAGATACTGCTGTCTTGTTGGCCACCGAATTGATTTTCTTGTTTTTAGCATTTGCATAAGTTTGGCTTGATGTAGCAGGCATTGCCTTTTGTCCAGATGACTTGCCGATGTTGCTGCTGCTGCTATTGCTGATGCTTCTGGGTGGGCCCACATCTTGTGACTTTTTGAAACCTGCCTGAGAGGTACTGGGCTTAAGTACGCCCAGCTTGTGCCATGGACGCATTAGAGCTTCGCCTAAATTTGGGGATAAAGTTAAGCAATTAATAAAATGCGTAATTGAACCCATTGCGGAATGTCCACCTAGGTCGTCCACCGAATCGAACGACTCGTAGCGTTCGCGCCTCTTTGTTGGCTTCGACTGGCTGCTCTTCCCGCAAAAGAGGGCTTCCAGGGCATCGTTGGAGCCATCGCTGGAGGAGGAAGATGGGGAGCGGCGACGTCTATCCTGAGATTTGGCGCCGGAGCCCTCGTTGAGCACATCGTCGTCCAGGTACTTGCCATGAAAGAGCTTCTGGAAAATGTCCGCATCAATCGACGACGAGTTGCTCGAGTCTGATGAAATGCGACGCTGCCGCGGAACGCCGGCAGAGGATGTTGGCGGAGCACCCGATTTGATTCCTGTGCGCGCGCAAAGTGTACACACATTTTACATTAGATGCGTATTTATAGCATTTGAAGAGGAAATTACGGACCTGGCAGCACCAAGTCTTTGTACTCGTCTAGATATTCGATGTCCTCCATACTTCACTTTTCATGTGCGTCGGTCGGTCAATTTGCAATCTTTCAACTGCGCCGCGCCTCATCTAATTCCATGAAGGAAAATCACGAAGAGTTTGATAACTTGACTAAGATATAGAAGTAAGATTTTATATACCCATTAGCGCACCAACGCTAGCACTTTATCGTTTTAATCACCGCAAAAAATTCCTTTAAAATCGAGCAAAAATGATGCCGCTGCAATTAACGTGAACGTAGTGCAGATGTACAAAAAATGCCAAAAGCGTTTAGTGAGCCCGCGCACCGGTGTGGCCGTCTCGTTTTACTATATTTAATGACTCAAGTGACTCAAGTCACTTATGAATTATTAGTGATTTTCACTGGTATTGGTAGCTGAGCAATAATATTATTTACAAATTGTTTGGTGGGCGCCAAGAAAATTGCGCTTGCCCAGCAAAAATCTAAAAATAACTTTTATACAAGGTTGCAAATTATTGCTACAAAATCGATTTCATCGATTTTCTGGCTATTAAATAGTTAAGTTTTTATTCGTATTGTGCTTATTAATTGATTATCAATTGAATTTAAAAAAAATAAACTTGTATTATCGGACTGAAGCTAATCCCCAATCACATCAATAAGATTTATTTGAGTTCTTTAAATTAAACATATCAGCATATTTAGGTATAAATATTTATATTTTAATTTTAAATATTATTAATTTTTTTTTAATTATTTATATAAATATTAATATTAATCTATTTTGTTTAAATGCCTATAAATATAAACAACATGAATATATTAATTCCATATTTAGTACTAGTTCATTCCTGAGCAAAAGAAACCGATAGTTCTGTCAGTCTATGCTGACATATCCAGCAGACTAAATCCGCGATACCTGTCACCTATCGTCAGCGGTGCCACCACCAAAGTGACGTGGAACGAAAAAAGACACGAAGCCTATCACGTCAGATTCACGTTCAGATTCCAGTTCGCCCGTTCATATTTTCCAGGTCAGTCGATCCAGAGAAATAGATAGCCCAAAATGGTGAGTTAAACTAGATAGCAATTGAGTGGGGCGACTAATTAAAACGCATTTGCCAGCCCGCACCAGCAAGTTCTACGTCCGTGGGCAGCGGATCGCGCTCGCCCAGCAAATTGTCGGCGCCACGTAGCGCCGGATCCGGAGGCGGCAGCACCCTGAAGCAGCGCAAGACCACCACTAGCACCACGGCGGCCCGGAGTCGTGCACCTGGCGGAGCCGGAACTGGTGGCATGTGGCGCTTCTACACGGACGACTCTCCCGGAATCAAGGTGTAAGTGAATACCTTGGCTATATTTATCTTGAAGGCACATTGCTAATGACACTTTTTAATATTATTCATGCTGCAGTGGTCCCGTGCCCGTGCTGGTCATGTCGCTGCTCTTCATCGCTTCCGTCTTCATGCTGCACATCTGGGGCAAATACAATCGTTCTTAAGCCATGCATTTCGTAGCCAATAAAATACTTTCACCTCAACGAGCGTGAGCAATGTCGACGTCATCATTTCTTTTGCGGCGAGATAACAAGAGAACCATTCCGCTTGTTGAGGCATTGGTGTGTTTCCACATGAAATTAATTATACCTAAGTTTAAGTTAAAGACCTGTTTAAACGTAATGCATCTTTTCAAAATTTTATCGTTTTCCCCAATCCGTTCGTTCATTCGGCGGGCTGAGAATTCATTCCACAATTTATCGTGGTCATGTGCATCAGAAATTCCGCGCGAAGCCGTTGCAATTCAAAAATTTGTAAGACATTCAACGAAAAGTGTTAAGAACAAATAAATTTTGTATTAAACAAATCGCTTGGTGTTTATGTGTGGGTGTGAAGGTTTCATCCAAACAATGAAGTATCTTAATTCCTCAGTTCTAAAAACTACAATGTAAACCTTCCAAAGTGCCCTTTCAGTATAAAAAAACAATACAATTTGTAACAAATATTATTGATTGTGCTTTTGGGTGGAATTCTTAAAGACACTGAATGGTTGTTTCATTCATAAAGCAAAGTTCCCTGAAGTACTTTGTGCGGTACGCGCATCGCTTTTCCCTGTGATTGCGTTTGCCGCACAAAAGGCAGCCTTTGCTATAGTTCGTCTTTCTTTTCTGGAAGTTCGGACACTTAGTTTCGATATGGCCTTTTTGGCCGCACAGCCAGCAGTGTTGTTTGGTCTGGTAGAATGAGCAGTTGTGTCCCTCCTTCTGAGTGCACCTTCTACAGTTGGTGCAATGCACATAATTGGGTTTCACGCAGGCATCGCAGGACGCACAGTGCTTGTATGTTTGGCCATTCACCGAGGGACACTTCTCGCAGCGGTTGCAGTGCTGGTTCTCCTTGGCCGTGTAACAATCGCACTTATGGCAGTACTTATAGCCTTCAAGGGGCAATTTGAGCAATCTCAGTGGCACGTTGGTAAACAAACGCACCGGTGATCCACAAAACCGACTCTGCTTCCCCACATTCGTATACCTAAGATGATTGGTGTAATTGATCCTGTAGTCGCACATTTCCAGCTCAGGCATTTCCTGCCTGATGTGGTTAGCTGAATAATACGGATATATCCAGAATATGGACAGCGGTGTGCATGGCAATCGGTTGATTTGATTATGGAGTTTCCTCAGGCTGCGCAGGGTGTGCGAAATCAGTTCAGTGCGGCAGCCAAAAGGTGGATCCGTCACTATCACAAGCTGCTCGGAACTAACAATTGAGAGCATAAGTGCAGTTACCATTATATAAGAATAAATATATTACCTGGTACCTTCCAGGAACTGTTCAAAGGGCTTTCGGTCGTAAAAGAAATGATTATTGCACATATTGTAGAGGCAGAACTCTTCAGGACCCAGATACTCGGCAAATCTCTCATCCAGATCCAGTAGAAAACTTTGCAGTTTGTGACGCAGATGAAAGTGTAAGCGTGGTGCACCCATGCAGATTACCTTGCTGATATAGCGAAATTAGTAAGGGCTTATATAAATGGGCAGATTTACCCACCTTGCTCCTATATTTTCACACTGATTTGCCAAGAAGTTCAGCGCAGCTTCATCGAAAAAGTATTGGGCATTGACTTTATCCTGAGAAAGCGCTGTAAGGCTTAATGTGGGATCAGGTGTGGCGGAATTTGCTGTTTTCCTGGATGGCAAGGGATAGTCCCGTTTAGGAAGAGGAGTCCTGCAGGATTGACCCTTCCATTGATCCGCTGGCAGGTGATAATTGCAGAGTTTTGAGTCCCGGTGGGCTGAGCAGGCATAATAGCCCTGCCCGGGAGGTTGGGATTGCCGGTAGAACAACACTGTGGGTCCATGCTCGCAGCGGGGATGCTGCTCATCCGGAGCAGCATCGTATTCCTCCATTTCGAGCAGCAGCTTTTCGCTTTTAATATCAAACATTCTGATAAAACGTTTATTTATCGTGAATGCCACAATGTCAACAAACCGCGGAAGAAGAAGAGCTAGTACTAGGCAGTGTCTTACAAGAAAGCTCTTAACTTTTAATCAATAAATAAAATAATTCGATTTTAATTAAATATGACATTCCTACGCAGTTTTCTGCAAATAAACTAAATTTTATGTAGGTGTAATGCTTAAATTATTTTTTAATCAATTCTATGCGATTAATATACAAATGTGGCAACGCCAGACAATATTCGATACTATAGAGGTTTTATCGAGAAATCTATGGAAATTGAGCCTTACCTCATCTGTTCACTCTAATATTCAAGAAAATCTATAAAAGCGACGTGCAACCAGCAGAATTTCTTTTTATTGAACATTTTTGGAGAGCGTTACTTGTTCGGTGGAAAAAATTAAAAAAAAAAAAAATAAAAATGAATACTTCAGTGGAAGTCCATGTGCTCTCACATTTTAAAACAAAGAAAAGCTGAAATATCAATTGCGTGCGATCGCAATAAATGGATAAAAAGTAAGTGAACAGAATAATGCGTGGATTCATTAGTTTCTTGATGATTGTTCTATTTTCTGAAGAGTCGAGTGCCAAGTCGCAAGATTTGGCATTCTTTTCCTGTGGAAAGAATAAGAACGGCCAACTGATAACCTAAATGTAATGACATAGTTGATTTAAAATGTAATTGTTCAAGCAAATAACTAACATATATTTTTTTGTTCTAGAAAGTGAAAAAACACGTGGCGAGAGATGAAAATAGAGAGGGACAGCCGGCATTGCACTCCATGGGTATGTAGTCTTCTCTTTCTTACATATGTGCATGCTTGAATATGCATAGATCTGAAAAAGTTCCTATTTTTCTGATGATAAGTTCAATCTGAACAAAGTGCTGTTGATTTATAACTTAAAACTAAACCAAAAGGATTCTGAGAAATCAGAAATATAGCAGTTTTCAAATTGAAGAAGAGTACCAATTAACCCTAGTTTTTATTTTTAGCTTTGCCAGAAAAGAAGCCGCCATTTTTACTGAAGCATTTTGGAAAAATGTGATCGAGGTAAGATAAATGTGAACTTAATAAATAATGTTTTTAAAGATTTTCCTGATGATAAGTTCAATCTGAACAAAGTGCTGTTGATTCTCAACTTAAAATTAAACCAAAAGGATTCTGAAACCAAAAATTAATAATTACATTGAAAAATATTGTCATTGAAGACCTAACCTAAGTTTTTTTTTTCTTTCAGAATAATGTGTCGAGTTCGTAAAAGTTCTTCAATTCCAACTCTTTTTATCTGAGGTAAGATAAATTTGAATAATTATTTCAACATTAATATCAGATTAATTGATGATAAGTAATTACCGTTTGATTTTCGTGATATTAAACCCCAAGGCTGCTATTTAATAGTAACTGATTTCACTTTTAAACAATGAACATGTATTTAACAAGGAACTTGTTATTTATGCTTCTTTTGCTTATTTTCAGATCTATCTACTTCTGGAAAACAATAAAATGGATCAGTCGTGGATCATAAGGTAAGAAAACTTGTTTTTGTCGTTTGCAAATGTTTTATTGATGAAAGTAATTACCGTACGACTTCTGTGATTAAATCTAAATGGCTGCAAATTTTGCAACTGAAATTCACTACAAATAAAACATTTTAATTGGTACTTTTTGGTTTGCTAACTCTGTTTAACTCTGTTTCTTTTGCAGCTTCGAGAAAAGACGACTTAATGCAGTAGAACGCTGAATTCATTTGCTGAACGCAATTAAGGTAAGATTAATTTTAGATTTTGTAATATGATGCAACAGTTTAACTGATGAATACCTTTATCTATTAACTTTCGTTCTACTGAGTGGCAAATGCGGATATATTTTTCTGATACATTAAACCAAAGCATCATTTTGTCTGTAAAAACTTGTTAGATATAATTAACAATTTTATTCTTACAGACCTGTTCTCTCGAGGGGCTGATGGTCAAGATTGTTCTAAATGGTAGGTTATATTCAAAGTATCTCATACGTTGTTTATATGATGTTACTTCTAGTATAGTTCATTAGAAACACACATGTTACAAACATTTTGAAGCTGATATAGCATTTTATTTTCTCTAATTAAATAGTTTTTGAGTAAATTATAAAAAATTACAAATTCTTTACATTTTAGAAAGAATCCAGACCCAGGTGCTTTATGAAGATCATCGTAAAACCGAACATACTTAAGGTAAACAGATCCTTATGTTTAGATACAAATTTCTTTGATAAGCGTTTCATATGATGATATTTTCCTATCTCAGGATTCCCTCTTCTGAGTAGAACCCTAAAACAACCGTGCTGTTCACTTTCCCTGTCTGAAAAAAAACGCTTTACAAATGAAATTAAATGTTATATAATTTAAATAAGTGGCTACCATTTCTCTTAAATTACAGATAATTTTCTAAATCACCAATACTTGGACATGCCTCAAACTATAAAGGTAAGTTGGCATTGATAATGTTAAGTATTTTATTTATAATGATGATATTTTCCGTCCGTGGAATTTATACAAAGTAAAATCATGCTGACATTTTTATGTCTTCTTTCCCCAACTGATTAATAATTTTAAATTTATATTTGAAATATCAGTATAAATACCAGTACTCTAATCGTAATTTTATTTCTGTTGCAGATTTCTTTTTAAACAAATATAACTGATTGATAAAAGGAGGAATAACTTCTCAAATGAAAAGGTAAATATACACAAGTTTTAATTCTGTGTTTAAAATGATGACAATACCGTCCGTGGTTTTACACTGAGACAAAGCCATGCTGTTTGAAAGTCATTTTTCCCCAACTGATACATCATTTCAAATTTGGAATATGTTTGAAATTTACTTTCCTATTTCTAATTTAAATAATAGGTTGTCACGTATATCCCTTCCGCTTTTTTGCTCTTTATTCAATGCTTTATAAAGTGTTACAGTGATCGGATTTAGTTCAAATATGCGCCGTTTTGTTCGATAATCTGTTTCCATCTAGACGGCAACTTCATAATACCTCCCTCGTAGAAGCCCACCTCCTTATTTGCGAAGAACTCGGACAGCCACTTTTCACAAGCCTCTTTTGAGTTCAACTTTACACCACCAAGGGCATTCGCCATGGACAGGAACAGGTGGTAATCACTTGGCGCTATGTCCGGACTATATGGTGGATGCGATAAAACCTCCCATCCGAGCTCCCGTAGCTTCTGACGAGTCTACGAGGGAGGTATTATGAAGTTGCCGTCTAGATGGAAACAGATTATCGAACAAATCGGCGCATATTTGAACTAAATCCGATCACTGTAACACTTTTTATGAAGCATTGAATAAAGAGCAAAAAAGGGAAGGAAGATATTTGACAACCTATCATCTTATTCCAGATTTCTTCAGGCACGTACATTATCCTTTATTCCGGAAGAAACTGGCATCTGATTTAATCCAAAAGGTAGTTAAAACAATATATTATTCATACTTATTTGAAAGGATGAAAATAAAGTCCGAATTATTACTGAGCAAATCAATGCTGTATAAGAGATTTCCCCAACTGATAAAATCTTTTATATATGAGTCGTGCGAAACATTTTTGAATGAAAGCTAATTTTGTTTTTTCTATGCTTGCAGGTTTGTCTACAAAATGGGCCTATTGTTTTATATAATAAATGTAATTAAATTACTGAAATGAATAATGGACTTTTAATTGGCATTAGTCGGTCTGGGAACCCAAATACTAAAACGTAAAAAATCGACGAAAATTTCTAAAAGAATTTCTGTTGAATATTATAAAATTTCATGGGATTATGAATAATTTAAGGCGCCATCTGTTGTCTGTTGAATAGCGTTCTATGGAGCGACATCTGGCGTATTAAAACGGAAACTTTAGGAAGTTTAGAACGAAGTGGCAGCGCCGTTGTGTTCTATTGCACAAGCAGACCGCTGCGAAACTTTCAGCTTAAATGTTTGGTCGTTACTTTTTAATATTTATCTGTACACAAATATTAACATAAAGAGAGCATTCCGTTTCGTGGGATGTTTTTCCGAACGCACTTTTCTTGTCATTTTCGCCGCCTTACCGGTTTCCCATTCCCACAAGCTTTCCAGTGTGTCTGCCATATTTCATTGCATTTTTAAGGGCGGCAAACATCAATTTATCATGCTGTAGTGCTGTCCACATAAGCGGAAGTCGGATGCTCTGCCAGCCGTATGAGCAACAACAACAACAAAGTGAGCATTAAAAAGAAACTTCGCCACGTTGAGGGGCTTGGCGGGGTTCGGCGGGGTCACAACTATTTTCAACATTGTGCACACATTTCATTCATTGAGTGCATGTTGAGCACGAGCATATTTACAACGAGTTGCAGCGAGGACGATGTGTGCCGGGCACTTAATGCGCTTTTATGCGATTTTATGGGGCATTTTAAATGACAGTTAGTTGGTTTTTTATTAAGTTGATAATTATCTTGGGGAGCGGGGGATGTGCCATCATATCCCAATGAATTCAATTGAATATTTCCCACTTTCCCATCATGACCACGTTATTTACAACTGCACTTGAGACTTTAGTAGAGAAACCAAGATTTGCGACGGGTAGTTTTGTGTGCACTGCTAAAATAATGTTTAATAGAGTTTCAATACATTTTATAGTTCAAGTGCATTTCTTAAGCTAAGGAATTTTGTTTTGTACACAAAGTTTTCTTACTTTTTAGTCAGCCTATTTTACCTTAATTCCAAATTGCATATAATTTCTTTGTTTCGGCTCAGCAAGCATAACAGTTTTGTTCAGTGTTCCTCGTGGTTTGCCGAAAGCTGGCAGGAAGTACTGGGTGTCATCGACGGACGCGCCAAGTCGTCGAACTTCTTGCACTCGATATGTGACGACAAGGACATCGCTGCGCTTTTTCACTCGCCAAACTGATAAAGATAAGGCCAAGGAGTCTGTCGTCGCTCCGCTCCGAGTGGCTCCTGCAGGAAACTTTGCCTTTCTGCCTGTCTTGGTTCTGGACTGTGTCTTCTGTCTTCAGATCTCTGGCCCCGGGTTTTTGCGGTTAACTGGAGAGCAGCAGGCAAGCAGCTCAAGTTGGCCGGCATTTCTGTGACAATTTATTTTCTGTGCTTTGGCATTCGCTTTTCAACAAATCGAAAAACTATTAAATTGGGCTGAACGCCAGCAAACGAACGCCAAAGAGCCAGAAGGACAAACAAAGCCAAAAGAAATGAGGGAGAAGCATTTATTTCCGGAAGATATTGAAAATCGTATGCCCTATTAGCTTGCAAGAGCGTTTGAGCATTAATAGACGGTTGGGTAGACTTCTCATGAGATTGATTAGTTTTTGGTTCTATTAAACGAGCCTTATATTATCTTGTTTCAACGTAAAAACATCTCATATAGTCTACGAAATGCACCTTTTGTAGTATAACTAGTATAGTATTCTTAAAGTCAGTTCATGCAATCTATATAATATAAATTTCCTTCCGTTTCTTTAACCTAACTGAAAAGACCAGTGGGAATCTGGGTTACTCACGTAATATAACTCTCTGAAAGGGGAATCCTTTTGAAGATTCCACTCGCAGGACTTGAGCGCTCACTTTCCCCATTCCGTGTCCTGCTAAGAGTATTCAAAGACAAACTTTGACCGCTTTTTTGCCAGGACCTACACTGACAGAGATTTCCCTTTGTTGACAATCACGCGACTTTCCCCGCTTCGGCACATTTGATTTGGCTGCAACTTTTCACCTCGGAACGGACGAACTGCGACGACATCAAGTTAATTGGATGGCAAAATGGGGGGTGGACACTCGGGGGCGGTTCGGCTACAAGGGGTGAGGAGAGAGAACGAATCTCGTTGGCCGGGTGACAAGTGTGGCCAAGGCAACGGATCCCGATTACAATCTAAGCCAGAGGAAAGCCCACGACACACATGGCATTCAGGCGATTCGAGGCGATTCGAGGCGAGCAAACAGACATTAACACGTGAGCGCGGTTATCTGCAGGATCTGTACTAAATCTCGGGGTCTCAAATCTCTGAATACCCGAGTGTGTTTGCCACTTGGCACCTCCTCAAAACAAATACCCTACCGACCACTCAAAGGGAACTAGGCCTTTTGCAGTGACACTAAACTAATTAAAAGTTTGTCAGACTCCGGGATTCGGGCTGGCCAGTCCATATGGCCTGGACTACGGCTTATTGGCATAAATTACGCATTGAAATCACGTAAGTGTCGGGGGCAAAATTTAATCAGAGAGTGCGGCGGCTAAGCAAGAATTAAATTTAGCAACATAACCAAATCAAAAAAGGACCTCTGCGCATGGACCACGGACATGGAACACGGACACGAACAATTTCCCCCTGTGAACGCAGCGGCAAAAAATTTGCACACAAACTACGTGACTTCAATTCCTCAGTGAGGCTGTAAAAAAAGTGTATAAAATCCGGCAGGGTGTACGTACGTGTGTATCTATGTGGTTAGCTCTCAATGGCTTTTGTTCCGCTCCGTGTACAACTTTTAATCCTTTGCACTTTTGTCAATGTCACAGACGAGATAGACTCAGATTTAGATGCTGCCCAATGACAACGGATATAAAAAATAGGAGCAAGTGGCGTTGTCTTCGCTCCCCGAGTTCGCAATACCCTTTCATCAAAGTATGCCCCTGAGAAATTGAAAGATAAATGAAATCATAAAGGGTGTGGGAAACATACATCTTTATTTGCTATATGGATAGTTCACAACATATTATAAATAGATACAAATCCAATTTGAGTCAGATAAATTTGGAATACAAATTCCACACTTTGTAAATCGAATTTATAAACGCCTCCCTTTCGTTTGACATTCAGATGTGCACTAGCGTTATTGAAATAATCACTTTAACCCGATTTGATTTATACAAGGCCGTTGGAGATGCTAAACCGATAGAGATACCCTCACCGAAAGTGACAGGGCGAAAAAGGTCGAAATGAACGGAGGACTGCACTCTGTTTGGGAAATAGTTTTTCACCACAATGACATTTCTGTTTTCCGCACACGGATGGATTTCCTGGGCGAGGGAAGATGGCCAATAAAATTAATTGATTTTGAGGTTGCCTTTTTTGTTTACGGCTGCCAATGCTGAAGCTGTTTTAACTTTTTTGTTGGTGATTTTGATTTCTGCTTCTGTGACAGTTGACCGCATTTGATTGGCGTCGGTGGATGCAGCCGGATGGAGGATCCTTTGGCTTTAAGGTGGCCTGGGCATTTCTAATTTAATTAGTTTCGAATGTGGAGCACCTGCAAGTGGCACAATTTTATTACAATCACTATATGCAAATGAGAGCTGGGAATAGCAAAAAGTAAGGCTTCGAAGGCCGTCCGATTTCCCTTTTAAACTTCAAAATAAATATCAATAAATGGCAAATAAATAAAATATGCCGTTTAATTGGCGTATCGAAATTCAGATTAATTTTTTACGTTTTTCCTTCCTCTCCATTGCGTACTTGGCCAAAAGCGAAGGGGAAACCAGCAATTGTAAGCGTAAATGTGAACGAAACGTAAACGTAAACGTAAACGCTTTCAACAGCTCTCCTTTTGCATCTGGCATTGATTTCCGTTTTCCATTTTTATTAACAAGCATTTAAATGCAATGAAGTGAAATGCGAGTCTCTGAATGTGTATAAATATTTCTGGCTGGCCCTTTGTTGAATTATTTTTATGGCTTGCCATAGTGTAGATGGCATTTCATGGCTGATTTAACCCGGCTGCCTAACAGTTTCGTCTGGGGATATAGATCCTCAACTCCCTACCGCTCTTCCGGTTCCGATTCCGATTCCGATTCTGATTCAGAATCCAAATCTACGGCTGCTGTTATTGCTGTTGTTATTCATTCGTTCGCATTCCTTTTTTTCCCCACTCGCATGTCAGTGGCGTAAATGAAAACGCAAACGGGGCGTATGATTAATGTGGTTTACATATGAAAACGAGACTTCGTCCCAGAACTCCATTCCACCGACTGGGCTGCTGTCTCTTCCGGCTTCTTTGGCTGCGCTGCCGTTGTTGTTCGCAGTGCTTATTCAATAATTTATTGCTGGCAGCCTCAGCCACTTACAATGTCAGAAAAATATGCGCGAAATATGCATAAAAGTATTACATGCAGGCTTTTGTCAGCTGGGCGGCATGTCCCGCTCCCACCTCCCAGTGCACTCGTATACCCTCTACATGCCCCTCCTTATCGCTGAAAGGGAAAGCTTAAGCTTTAATAAATCACAAAATATGGGATTATCAATTAATGGGCAGCCGTGAATTTCACGGGGCCTTCAAAGTTGATAAGCAATTAAGTTTAATGAGACTGTAAATGGCAGGGTGGCGGGGTGGCAGGTGGACAGCGCACTTGGACTGAAACAACAAATGTGAGCCGAAATTAATTATTAAATTTGTCGAGACTTCAAAGGGTTTTCCTTTGTACAATCTGAATTTGAAGCTGGCATAAGAGCGCTCCAGGGTAAGGACTAAAGAAACTACAGCTACTAATTATCTGTTGCTTTAATATGAAAACGTTACCGTACCTACTAAATTAACAGGGAAATGGAAGCTTTAAGGCAATTCATTTCCATTCATTGCCATTCATATCATATGATTAAAATATAAATAGACAATGCGTGGGTATAAACCAGATTTTAATAAATTGAAATATACGTTCTTATAAACCCAATTATAAAATAATTCAAATAAACGTGGTTATACAAATTTTCAAATATTTAGACAAAATACATTTACATTCTTTCGGCAGGAAAAAGTCTATTTAAAGCCGGCTAAAAGAGTAAGAGGTATCTGTAAGTCGGGACACCCATTTTGCTTAGTATTGAACAACCATACTTTAGGATTTTATACAAGATATAGTTTCAGTGATTACATCATTCCATACAACAATTATAAACAGATTATATACAGATTTATTAAATTATATTTATTCTGACGAATTCGAGTGTTGTAAATTCAGTATTCATTGAACAATGAACTTCACGTTACTGGTGCTCCTTGGCAGTTGCCTCATGTGGCCAGTGGTCAGTTGCCGTTCTAAGTTTTGGGTTCACACATCGCTTTATTTATTTCATTTTAGATGGAGGCTCAGATGGTATACAAGGTGAAAAAGATCGAGTGCAGCGAAAATCCGGTGCGGATTAAAAACGTTTCATGTCGCCTAAAGGCAATCAATTGGAATGTGGCGGTGGTCAACATGGACTGCGATTTGGTTGTGCCTATAATACGCCCAGTGGTAAGATGCTACGGGATACAGCAAGATACAGCCCGATATTTAAGCCTTGGCTTGCAGACGCGCCTTCAGGTCTTTAAGAAAGATTACAGCAATCAGTTCCAGCCATTTCTAATCGACGTAACGTTCGGAATCTGCGAGGTGGTCAAAAAAAGGACCTACTATCCCTATGCCCTAATGCTTTGGAAGTTGCTGAAACGTTATTCCAACGTCAACCACTCTTGTCCATTCTCGGTATTTTTGATGCCCAGGTTTTAAGCATGAGCAATACTTATCAATAATTGTAACTTCAGGGTCACCTAACCGCACGAGATGGAATTCTGGGATCTGAAATACTTCCACCTTTTCCAGAGGACTACTTTCAATTCCGTTTTACATTCTTTGATTCCAATTCAACTAACAACGCTTACCTGGGCACTGCGAAGTTTTTTATTCAAGTCATGGAGTCCATAAAGAACAAAACAAAAACAGCGTCTTAAAATGGAAGCTTAATAAAAAAAATGTTTAATTATCTTAGCACTGACAGATTGAGGCAGCACCCATCGTGTTTTTTTTTAAATAATAATATAAAATTTATGTTTAGGTTTTGGTATATCGAAAAGTTCTGATGTGAAAGGGTTAACGGCCCTTTTCGCAGTGTACGTTCATAAATCAACAATTTATTATCAATAGTGGGGCACAATGGCGCATGAGTGATGTGATTGTGGACTGAACTTGAACCGATGGCGATAAATCTGCAGTTCCGTTCGGATCCGGAGCACTTACTCGTACACTTAGAACGCTGCCTGATGACAGTGCGAAATGAGCAGCCAAAAGATTGGGATCGTGGGCAGTGGATTGATCGGCAGGGCGTGGACGATGCTCTTCGCGGCAGCTGGCTATCGTGTCCAGCTGTATGACATCCTGGAGAGCCAGTTGGCCACTGCCCTGCAGGAGCTGGACAAGGATCTGCACCGTCTGGAGGAGCGCGGCGCGTTGCGCGGCAATATACGGGCCTCGGAGCAGTTTTCCCTGATCGGGGTCACCACTCGACTGGAGGAACTCACCAGGGATGCGTTGCACATACAGGAGTGTGTTCCCGAAGTGCTGCCGCTGAAGCAAAGTCTTTACTCCCAGTTGGATGAGCTGCTCGAGCAGCAGACAGTGGTGGCCAGTTCCACGAGCACCTTCATGCCTTCGCTGTACAGCGAGGGTCTGCAAAAGAGGCAACAGGTGGGTCAAGAAAAATGCATACCCTGGAATACGGTTAGTCAAATGCTTTATTCCTAAACAGATGCTAGTGGCTCATCCACTGAATCCGCCGTACTTTATACCCCTGGTGGAGATCGTCCCAGCTCCCTGGACATCCTCGGGTGCGGTGGAGCGAACCCGTGACCTAATGCTCAGCTTGGGCCAACGTCCGGTGACCCTGAAGAGAGAGATTCAGGGCTTCGCCACCAACCGCATTCAGTATGCCATCCTGAATGAGGTGTGGCGCCTGGTGGGCTCCGGCATCCTCAGCGTGGCCGACGTGGATCGAGTCCTCAGCCAGGGATTGGGATTGCGATATGCCCTGCTCGGATCCCTGGAGACGGCGCATCTGAATGCTCCGGGCGGTGTGGCAGACTACTTTCAGCGTTTTGGCGGTGAAATCTCCGCCGTGAGTGCCACCTATGGTGAGACCCCGAATACCCAGGAGGACCGGGAAACGCTGGCGGAGATTGCACGGCAATGCGAGCAGATGGTGTCGCTGGAAAAACTCGACGAGAGGCGGGCCATTCGTGATGAATTCCTCATCCAGCTGGCCAAACTGAAGAGGCAGTTTGAATAGGATATTAATTGCTGGGTTTTGTGATGTTCCCTGAATAAACTGCAAAGCAACTTAATGGCCCTGTGCCGACTGCCCTGCTCCGCCTTGGCTTCTTCTCCAGCTCCAGTTTCGTGCATTAATGAAATTAATTTTTGCGGCAACCGGAAACGCTTTTCCCGGCGAAGCATTCAAGTACGACGTGTCACATTTCCGCTTCGGCATTCTGGCCCTCGACGCCTTTCTTAGTTTTCCCATTACAATTTTCCCCATTTCGGCACTTGGCCTGATGAATGCTGGCGGCCCTAACTCATTTTTCATTCGGGCGCTGGAGAATTTTCCTCCAACTGAGAGCTGCTTAAGTGAAAAATCTTTATTTGAGCGCCGGATTTGTTGTTGGCAGCACTTTTGCAATTGCTTTAAATACGGGGATTTGGAGGTCTTTTGTCTAAGTGCAAATACTACTAAAAGATTAAGAAGAGCCGATAAGATTTTCATTTTAGTACATTTCTTGTTTGCAAAATTCGAAAAGTTCTCGTAGGTCTTCTTTAATTTAACACTTAATAATAATAGTTTGGTGATAGAACTTCATGTGAGTAAAGCCAATCAGTGCTCATTCACATTATGCAGCATAATCAATATACCCGTTACTCGAAGAGTAAACGGGTTTAATTTTTAAAAGATTTTATTTGGTAAGGTATTTATAAATTTACGCATTTTTAAAAACACTTTATCGGATGGCACTTAACTGCCTGGAAACCATCTTAATTAAAATTAAGAGCGTCTGGGCCGTATTTCAATGCCGACTATTTAAGTGAGTGGCCATGGCCATATAACAATTAAAGTCGCATAATTTTCAGACAGACGGGCGCAGTGGGGCCTATGGGTGCTCCGTTTTGGGGGCAGGATCCCGTGGAGGATCCTGAATCGTCTGCGCCCCTGAAATTGTTGGCGGCGGCTAAAAACTGCAATGTCATTGTTGCGAGACAGCGGGCGGTGGACAAAAAGCATGTGGCTAGTAATTCATTACCCAGACCATCGGCCATCGGAATTTTATGGAGCGGAGGAGGGCAGGGTGCCAGGACAATTGCACATGGCGCTGGCTAGCCAATGCCATTTAATGTGCAAACAAAAGGCGTTGACAAAAAATTGCAATCGGAAAAAAGATGACAAAAGGCAAAAAGAGTTGGCCAACGTTATGAGGTAGTGGTATGTACGAGTATTTGCAAAGTGCAGACTGTGCACAATGGCATTGTGGGGGTGCTGCTAAAAGTTAAAATAACGAACGATAATTAATGGAATGACAACATAAAGCAGGCAACAATTTCAATGCCCTCTTTGCTTTACTTTGGCGTACTACTCTTTTTCTTTTTTCTGGCTCGAACCAGACGTTAGGACCTGGTGTTTATTGAACCCTGTGGAGGGGCAAAATGGCGCTAAAGCGGAAACGGAAGGAAGCCATGTGTCGGGGTAAAGCGGAAGTGCATTGTTTTATGCCCAATTTCATTTGTGTGTATGTTTTCGATGCGGACGAGAAATAAAGAGAGCGAGAGAGGTAGATGGATGCATGTAATTAAAGCCGGCGCAATCAAAGTAATTAATTTCAAGAGAGCTTGAGATGGGGAAACATTGGCAGGCAAAACCACCGAGGGAGACTAGAAAAGCATTTGAATTTGTATTAATCAGGTTCCGGCACCGCTAAGTTCAAAGGGATTTGCTCGACCACTAATTAAATTCCGGATAACAAAGAAAAACTCGGATTTCTTTGTCGCCGCAGCATCATTAATTATATCCACGATGCCACCGCTTTTCCTCACCTTACAAGCAAACCACGCAAAAGAAAAAAAGAAGAGGAAAACACCACGTAGACAAAGAGATAACAATTTTTCAATCCCAACGACATTTGTTCTTGTTAGCTCAGTTGTTAACAATCGATTTGACGTGTTCCCTCGGACCTTCGGGCCAAATAGGACCAGCAGAAGTAGCAACAAATAAGGGGTCATGTTTTATGGCCTAGGGGCTGGGGGCTGGGGGCTGGGGGCTGGGTGATGGGTGCTGGGCCACGCCCCCGCAACCAGCGGACAGATAGGGCCTCGAATAATAAATCATTCCATAAAACATTTACGCCTCGCAGCGCACAAAGTTGATTCAAACCGAAACGAGTCGATCCCATTCGATTCGCTTCGATTTGATTCATTACATTCAAAGTATGTGAGGATGATAAATAAATAAGCAGGTTGTGAGGGGAATGAAGATGTCAAAGCCTGCGAAGCGGGTGAGAACTAAGAGAATACTGTATCCCCAAATCAACGGCTAACCTCTTTCATTTGTCATTGTTGGAGCCAAAAGACAAAACAATGTGTGTTCTTGCATTTCTGTACGCCCCAAAAATCACAAACAAACATTCGCAAGCAATGGCAAACTACGGCAAACAATTGCCCCAAGCTTCAACTGTCTTCGAGGCAATTTCCCATTTTCTTGGCATCGCTCTCCGGCCGACATTTATCTTGATCGACCTCAGTGGCACTTTTTGCACCGCAGCAAATTCAATTTGCTTTATTGATAGCCCACAATGGACACACAATAAATGCCGCGATAGCTCAAGGAACAGCGAAATAATATTGCTCTCACCCGAATGAAAAAATATATATCTATATAATTAATGTCAAGCCCATATAAGATTAAAGGACGTCATGAAGCTGCCGTTCCTTTCGCAGTTGTCTAAAATCTCCCAAGAAGTCTGCCAACATCTTCCGTTTACAATATCTTTCTTGGGTTGCTTGTGGCATTTGTTGTGGTCAGCCAATAAATCAGAGCCTTTGAAATAATTTATGTTCTGCGTTTGGAATTTTCATTCATCTGCCGAACGTATTGCTTATTACTTTAGGACTCCAAGTGTGGTGGCCAAGAATTCGACTTCATTATGACAAATTTGTGTGCTCAAGAAAATGAATGTCCTTGGCCCGAGCTTGGTGCATTATTAAATCGCTTTAAAGGCGTGCATGCTGCACGCCCTTATCCTTGCCCAAAAGTCACGTCCGAGCCCTTGGCGAAGGAACCTTCGTCCTGGATGCCCGTCAGCGTTTTTGTAGCCCCTCGCTTTTTTGTGTCTGGAACGGCGGTCAAAACCGCAGACGCTTTGGAGGCGGACGATGGGCAAATTGTTTGGCCAACACAAAGTTTATTTAATTTCTCACAGAATGGAGATCTACGTGCCCCTTTTTCGACGTTGTTGATTAAAACAAATTGCGCCCTGTCTCAACTGCGCCGGCAAACGTCAGACGGTCAAGAAAATGGTGGGAGGATATTTGGCTAGAGGGAAAATTGTTGAAACTGATAGCATTGCGGGGCTTCTAGGACCATCCCATATTAGCTGAGTATTTGATCCTGGCTGAATACTTTTTATGGTCGAAAAAAGTACAGTACAGAATTCCTTTTTAGTCCGCCAAGCACAACTGTACCCAAGTGCACCGCTCCCTGCGCTTCTCAATGTGGCAAGTCTTATCTAATTAGTCTCGTTCTGTATTTGAGTTTGTTTTCGCAATCACATTTCGTATTTGCTTTTCGCTATTTTTTTGCCAACTCAAATTTGCTGGCAATTGTCATAACTCTAATGCAATTAACCCTTGCCCATCCAGCGAAGGGCTTATCAGATAAAGGCGAGCAAGCAGGGCCAAAACAGAAAACAGGACACCAAAGGGGGAGCTAAGTAAATACAGCCATAGAGTAAACCTAAATATTTAATTAGGATTATAACGAAGCGAGCTTATCGCGGATGGCGGCAGCATCGCAACTGAAAGTGATGAGGAGCCACGAGGAGCGATGAGGGGGAGGAGCGATGAATGTCAAAGACTGTGTCCTGCGGGCAAGGGCTTCCTGCTCGCAGGATAACAGGAAGTGCATAAGTGTGTGGGGGCCCACCGACTATGTGCGTCTGGCGTTTCACTTTTCGTTGACTTAATTTAATTAATTTCCTAGCCCAAAGGCTCCATCCTGTCAGCCTGTCTGTCTATCTCACACTCGTCCTGGCCCCTTTTTTTATTTGTCGTTACGTATACGCCGCGTTGCAGGCGAATGAAAGCTAGCCCATCCACTTGATGCATATATAGGCACATATGCCTATCGATACACGATGGCCGGGCCGGCAGGACCCGAGGACTCGAGGACCACAAGGATGTGTGTGTAATATGCTGTAAATAATGAAAATCCAATTTTTGTTGCTCCTTTTTACCCTCACCTGGAATGTGTACTGTGGGCGGCATAATGGGTTCATCATCGTTGTGGCGGAAAGATGATTATGACCGGGCACGTAGGTACCCTCCCCACCTTGTCAGGGGTCATCCACCGCCGAAGATGGATGGGGGCATTAAGTTAATAAAGTGTTAAGCCTTTGTTAGAGCCAGAACCAAAGTCTGAAAAATTCAATTTAAGCGGCTGTGGGTCGGGCTGTAAGGTGAGCTGAGTGGTAGAGGGTATTCCGCATTCTTTGCGAACTGATTTTTGGGGCTCTCCGCTTGCTGGCTTCTTGATTGCATTACATTCTCAGCCCTCGACTCGACTCGACTTGACTCGACTCGTTTCGTTTCGTCTGCGTGGCGCATTCCATTTGGCCTTTTTCGTTGACTTTGCCTCCTGGAGATTTAATTTCGTTCTCCGTGCATTTTTTCAGCTCCTTTTATTTCTCCCCCACGCAGAAATAATCAAGTAATGAAACTTCACCGACCGAAACTTACCGACCGAAAATGCGGATACGGGAGTCCGGGTACTCACCCGAAAACATGTTGCTGTTTTCACTGATGCCTCGGAAATTATGCAGAACACAACAAGTTTTCATCAATATTAATGTCGGGACGAAATGTGATTAAAATCGAGAGACAATCTACGCAAATCGAATGGCAGTGCCGACTCGGTGGGCACTCGGAGGTGGCTTCCGAGAATCGGAGACCGGGATGGCTAACCACTTCTCTCAGCTGCCGGAGCGGCAATCAAATTAAACTTGAAGTGATTTTCAATTGGAAATTCTCGTAACGGCTCCCAGGCACACCGCAACACACTTAAGTGTATTCAAATTAAACTGACGCAGACCGAGCCAACAATGCGACTCCGATGGCAAAAGTTACCAGCGGAGATGGGTGCGTGAGCCCTCAAGCATGGGCAATACTATCAGGTCTATCTACATAACCAAATTCTACTTAGGCATAGGATTATGTGCAGTTATGTTGTCAAAAATAGCTGAAACCGAATGCATACGCCTCCGTTTGAACAAATGGATTTCATAGTTGGCTAGGCTGGATAGTAGAATAGATAGGTAGATAGAATATTGATCAGATTGACGATGATATTGCGAGGCACCACCCGCGTGAGTCTCGTGACAGCTCCGCCCAAACTCTGCTCGTGACTCACTCACGACACCTGCGCTGCCGAGAAAGTGGGATCCATCTTCACTAGAGCCACCCTTGGCAGCCGGCCCCCAAAAGCCATCAAATAGTCGACTCTGCCTCCGCCTGTTTTACTGGACATTTTGCCTTGTAATGCGATTGTTGTTTGGTGCCATTGTTGGCATTCTTGTGATGGCTGTTGTTGCTATCTGCTTGTCTATCTGCGTGTTTAGTTGTAGACCGAATGCTTGGGGATTGGCGATGTGGTGGGGCTGTCAACGAGCAGCCATGGCGTCAGCAATTGCTGATCTGCCACCCACCACACCCACTGCACCCACTACCCACTGCCCACTTGGCCACCCATCCAGCCGAGTTGAGCTGAGCTTTCGTCCTGTCTGCGGTCGTCGCTTTTTGGCAACGTTTAGCGCGTGTGCAGGACGCGCGGTTTCGGAGCTGCCGCCTGCCGTTGATTAGATTGTCTGATACTTTAATAGGATTGTAAAAGCATGAGCCACCCACGAATGCACCGTCGAAAAACCGTTGGCGTTTGAGTTCGGCCTGGGTGCTTTGGGTGTACTAAGTGCTCAGCCGCCGACACACTTGAAAACAAAAGCGAACGAGTTGAAGGTGAAAAGCCCCACAACCCCCCGTTTGGCAAAAACATCAAAAAGTGGAGCAACTAGTATGGGATTTGCGTGGGAAAAGGCTTTTGTTACGCGAGGTTTAATGGATTAGGATTAGAAATGCGCCTTTGCAGGCACAAACTCTTGATTACGTGGGAGGTCTATAATATATCTAAGTATCTATGTTTGATACACTTGATATACTTTGTAGCACTGCTTCAAAATTGCTTAAGCCAAAAGCATATTTAATGTTGCCCTAATAGTTTTCATAATCAGATCCAACATAACACACATTTACATCGGTTAATTACCCAAATAAAGCTAATTAACTGGCCAAATGCCCGTTTCGGTGGCTCGAATATTACATAGGTTCGTGCCAATCCCGAAACTCATTTAATTTTCAAATCTGCCAACTAATTATTCAATTGCACAAAAGTCAGGGCAAACTTTCGCAAAATGAGCAAAAGCGGTAAGCGGCTTAAGTTCTCGGCCGGATACGTAGGTATCAACCGATTGAGTGCGACCCAAATGTATGGAGCACGTTGCTCGGTCGGGGTTTTGGCCAGCAAATAAACAGTTAAGAGCTTATAAATTACATACACGATTCTCTATGGGGAGTGTCATGCAACATGACAGACTTCAGTCTTCAGAACCACTGGGGAGCTGGGCGAAATCTGTATTAAAATCGCATTATGCCCGCCTCACTTCACATAGGGATAGCCGAGTGGGCGGCTGGGCTTGGGTTGGAAAACTGCAGCTGCAGGAAAGTTGAGCTTCGAGGAGAAAGAAAATTTGCCAAATGTACTGGCAGGACAGCAGTGGCCGGGCAAGTTTATAAACCGAACCGAAGGACTGAAGCGGGCAGAACTGTGGGTGCCTCGATGTTCGCCCTTCGTTTGGCTGCGAGCATTAACCTCAGAATGCATTTGCAGCTGGAAAACTCCGGAGGGGGACAGGGGGAAGGAGGTAAGGGGAATGGAGGGGAAAAGTGGCAGAGAAAACTGCAGCCTGCACTCCTGCCGGGAAAAATGAAAAGTTCTCCCTTGGCCAGAACAGCAATTGTGGTTTCTAATTGTTTGGGGTATTTTGCACTAACAATTGACCGCAACTATGCGTTGTAATTTTGAACTTTTTTTCTGTCTGTTTCATCCTTTACTAGTCCTGTTTTATTTTCGGGAGCATAAGGAGCCACAAAATCGATAGCTACTCAACTCAAGAGGCGCCACTCCCCTTTAACGAATTTCACTGGTGGTTTTTAAGTTTGGCTAATTATGCCACATATTCATACTAAGCTTTTGTTCGCACTCCAATACTCCAATATACTTTCATACACGGATGTGGTTTGCATGGAAATTTGTAAAGTGAAAGTACTGCTAAAATATTTCATTTGCATTGAATGAAAAATCGTCTTACTTGGCTGCCGAATTTTGCTGATAAGTGGTATATTATGTATATTTAAATTTATAGTCTAAGCGCTAAAATCCCCTGCATGGGCAACGAAAATAAAAATCACCACGTTTCACTGATAAGGTCATCATCAACTGGGGAACCACTAAGCATTCGAGTATATAAAATCGGGTATAAATACGCTTGGCATTTCAGCGACTGGGCAAAGTTGATTGCCAGCATGAAAAGTCTTCAGATTTCTCTGTTCCTAGTCATATACTCGTTTATGGCTTTATTGGGATCTTTTCTCTGCGAGGCAAGGGTTTGGATGCCACCACCACCACCGCCAGGACGCAATCCCTTCGATATGAGGCCCTCTCCATTCAATCCCAGTAAGGGTTAATTGCCGAATAAAACTATTGTAATGCAAGCCAAATAAACGTATATCTGTTTCTCTATCAAAACTCCTGGCACAACACAATTTCATCATTTTCAGAGTGCTCTGAACCCTTTTTTGTGAGTCCTAGTCCAATTTAAAGCTCCCACTTTCAGCGAGGGCTTCTCGTAAGCCCGCCATTCACGTCCTATTCTCCTTGGCGGCTCGCTGGAGTGACAAAGAAGATATATTAAAGTGGTTTTTAATCATTTTCCGCTGTTTTTTTAGTCTGTGTGTGTGGAAAATGAATTAAAGGACGCCTTTCAGGATATACATAAGCCCTGCGCGAAGCGTCAGCGAGAGTTTATTAAAAAAGAGACGAACGAGCGCCTAACATAAATTTATGTATGGCAAAAAGTATGAAAAATGCGTTGCCGTAGCTGATAAAGCCGTTTTGTTTGCCCACCCAGTCTCGGTTAATGCAGATTTATGATTTTAATAACAGGCTGCACACATGAGCTCACATCTGCCTCCCCTAAACCTCAAAGTGTTGAGCATATTAGAAAATTGTTTTCCCTAGTTTTTGAATTTTATTTAAAGCGGATGGCTGGGCGTTTGATTCACCGCGACATTGTTAATTATGCAAATGTTTCTTTTACGGAGCTGCGGCTTGCAGTTATTAGCCGAAAGGCAGCCAGGAACATTTTCCTCGTAAACATCATCGTCACGGCAAACTGCAATCTCGATTTGCCAACTTTGCAGACTCTTGCCGCAGCAACAAACATTTTCAATTTCCCAGCGACGCCAGGTGTGCGCCACTGTGGGCGGAAAATTCGAGGGGCGGCGTGAGGAGGTGGAAGGTGTGAGTTCAAAGCTCGGGAGCGGCGCCGCGAGCATTCCAAGCCGAAACAAGGTGATGTGGCCAGGATGACGACGGTGCTGGAAATGTGGTTCACGGTTACCGCTGATGAGGAAATTGTTTCGAAAATCACCGGGTAAGTGTAATACGGTTGAAAATCAGGGCTGTGAATGCCAAGAGGTTTTTGGACTCAGGACCTTTGAGGCTGCTTAAGCCTAAAGCTGGTATAGCATTTAGTAAAATGCATATTAATAATCCCCCTTTGTGGCAAGACGCTGTCTGTGGCACTCTTACATGGCTAGAATAAAATGCGAGGTGTGATTGAGCCTTATGAATGATGCAGCTTTGTGTCCAGTTAAAAGGTAACTTCCTTGTGGAACAAATAGGCATCATACGCCACTTTATTAAAAATATGAAAACTGTGGTACAATACTAGCTTGTTTGTCAAACACAAGAGCTCCTACAAACTGCTCATTCAGCCCTCGTTTAAGCGCGACTGGCATTAAGCTCGTTTGGGGAAGTGGAGGCAGGAACACACCTGCCCAGGTAATGCAAATTTGCTGTTACTGCCACGCAGCACGATCGCTGTCATCTTGCACAGCCACATCATCATCATCATCATCAAGGTCGTCGGGCAGGAGGAGGAGGGACCATGTATCCGTCGAGGAATCGATGCCATTTGCACCGTCAGTGGCGCTTTTCGAGGAGCTGCAAGGTGTCCAAAGGCCGAGTCTGCAGGAGGCCCAGGTAGCGGAGGAAGTCCTTGTACGCGAACACCTGGTCAGGTGACTCTGGCTTCGGTTGGTGGTACGCTGCCAAATCGTGACAGATGAATCGACGTGGTGGCAGCAGTGTCACGTCAAAGATCTCATAAATCTCGTGGTACCAACTCGTTCCGTCGTCCAAGTCCAACGCTATTTGGTCGAAGCTAATGAGGATGTGCGACAGTTAATTGGAGGAAGAAGCAGGTGTGTGCACAGCAAAGTGCATTTCAATGTAAATGATTTGTAGTACTGAATGAATGCATGTACTGTTTTTGCAGTGTACTAACCTGCCCTTCTCTATGAGCGCTTTTACCACCGGCAACTGGATGATGCGGTCTACACGTGTGTCCTCCATCGACGACTCCAGCAGCAGGAGCAGTTTGGCCGGCAGCCTGAAGAGTCGCACCTTCTCCATTACGTCGAACGCGCAATTCTTGCGGGTGGGCCACTCAAAGTTCAGCCAGCGGATGGCGGCATAGAAAACCTCCGCCTCACTGTTCACCCTGATGTCATTCGAGGTGAACAGGGCACTCACACTCTCGCTGGGCAAAGCAAGGAACTCAGCCGAGGATACAAAGATTAGGAAGTAGTACTGAATCCGCTGCAGCATCATGTAATGCAATACACTCAGATCCCTAAGGGGCAGTGTGTCCATGGCCAACTGAATGGCCTGATGCTCGCCGAAACCGGAGTTCTGGTCCAAGCATGCCCAGATCTGGGACGACAATTGCTCGATGTTTAGGTAATCCGCAGCCAGCAGCAGATTACCAATTCCTGGACGCTTTATGAACGGTTCCTGGTCAACCATCCAGCGATTTAGTAGCTCAAAGACTTCCGGCCTCACAAATTTCGCTGGCATTCGCAACTCAGTCTGGTCCTTACTATGCCTCATCTGATCTATGTAGACCATTAAGACCAGGCGGTCGCAGGAAAAGCTGTGGTTCCCGATCCGCACCAGGAAATCGTGATGCTTATTCTGCTGCCAAAAGTCCTTCATTACATTCACGATGCTTTTTTGCTTGGGCAAGCAACAGTCCTTGAAGATCTTTGGCATCCGTCCGATCTTCTTGAAGTCTCGAAGACTCAGCTCCTTCAGTTGCGGTTCCATTGGCAATTCGTCTGCATGGACTGTTTTATCAATGGTTATCTCCATTTTTGGACACCTAGAATTTCGAGTATTTTTAAAGAGTTCCTGTAAAAAGAATGTTGACTACTAGCTTACTCAAAAAACTGTCAATTCAATTGGCTACATTTTCATACGATAGCAACCAGGCCTTTCCTCTGACTCATTCCTCCTGCCAACGACAACCAAACTGACGCAGCTGAGTGATGTCTGAGTCAACAGGCGGCAAGAATACAATGCGGTCCAGTTGAATAGGAATGTTCCTCGCAATTTGCATTCACAAGATACCCGTGCAATGCCGTTGATAACTTAGAACACAGCCTGTCTAATCAGGAGATCCTTCGAATTTTCGCATGTCCTGGGGCTTTCACTTTCACGAATCCTTCGAGCAGCCAATTAGACGCACAATACTCCCCAAATTATGCAATACACCGCGACAAATTCAATTTGCCACAGCCGCCCATCTTCCGTCCCGCTCCCGCCCACGCAGCGAGACACGTGACCAGAGCAGCAGCAGTGCGAGCGGGACAGAGACGGCGAATGGGACACGTTGGAAGTTGTGCTGAAAAATCCCAGGAGAAATTAGTTTGATTTATGTTGAGTTTCCGGTGCAAATAAATTGCCAAGTTTAGAGAGAACTTTGGACGCACTGCAGACGCATAATTGATTATGCGAGCGGCGTACAACCGATTGGTGGGCGGGGAGGGCACAGTGGGCGTGGCGCCAGGCGTAGGGGTGGGAAGGGTGGTGGGGACGACAGGAGAGCGGTGGTGACTGTACATTGTTAATGGTGAGTGGGCGAGGGTCTTATCACTAAACAAGCAACTCGTCAATTCGACACCCAATTATTTTGGGTTTTCCTTGCCACCCGCGCGATAGTCAACTTTCTTTAAGAAAAACTTATTTTGCCGGAAAACAATACGAACATCTTTAATTTTGCAAACAAAAAGGCAAAACAAAATTAAATGGTGTTTCCTATTTATTAGTATTTTCCTTAAATGTCTTATAAATGAAACATTCGCATCTAGGTCCAAATTATTAGCGGTCTAGCCATATTTTCCGGTTTCCCAAGTTTTTTAAATCTAAAAGTATTTATGACAAACAAAAATTCAGCTGAACTAAATTTTATAAATCGCTGTGTCTTTTAAACTGCACTCCTAATCTATATTTTTGCTCTACCATTTTTTTCCACCTCAGTTATTTAGAAAGCATTGGAAACAACATTGGAAACTATAAATTTGTTATTCATTGAAACATCTGCTGAAAAGAAACGGAGAATCTATTTTTCTCTCCACCATTCACTTTTATTGTTACCTGTTTGTTTAATAAACTTTTGTGCGATGCGTTCGGAACGCAACTAAAGTACTTAAACACTTTTTTTATCGCCGGACTTTGTCAGTTCAAATTGTTGCCCGCTTGCTAAGCGGAGTGAGAGAGATAAAGACAATGCGAGCGAAAGAGGGGGCAGCACAGGGAGCGAAAGAGAGGGACATATGGGGCGGAAAGTTTGTCGCTGGCAAAGTTTTTGTGCGCAAATTGCAGTTTACTTGCTGCTTACTGCAACATCATAACTGCGGGCTAGAAGGGGCGTTGGCATTATGTGGGCGTGGTCGAATGCAAAACTCCCCAGCCGATTCGAGGGTTTATTGCACTTGACTTGGGTCGGCCCGATGATATGATTCCGAACACTGGGATTTGAGGATTCCGCAGAGCACAGCGAAATATCTCGTGTTTTAGGTGGATTTCTCTACTTTATGAAATATTACGATATTTGTTTGCAGTGCTAGAGTGTAGAAATTAACCTTTAAGGCTTTGGGCAGCATTTACTAGCTAGAGTTAGGGAACGATTAACGTTTTTTTCAGTGTAATAACTATGCGCTGTTGGCTTTGTGCACTGCAAAGTTTGCTTTGACACTTTGACATTGACAATGATGTATGTGCTCGCTTGGCTTGGGTGTGTGAGTGTTAGACTGGGGGGCGTGTTCTTGGGTGGGCGGGTGTGACTAAGCTCTGTCATTAAATATCGATTTGTTGGCCATGCTCCGCCATTTAATAGCTACGACTTAAAGTCAAAGATTTCATCTGAGCTCGGAGAACTCCACATTGATTGCTGACTTATAGAAAAGCACAGCATATTGTTCAGGTTGTATTTATTGCACTCGGATTTGATGCCTTTGCAATTGCTTTTTGTAGCACACTTTTCCGCAATTTTATTAGTGCGAAATTTATGGGGCACTGAAAACGAAAATTGCCAACGAATTCCGCTCATATGTCATGCCTTTTATCGCCAACCGATGAAATGTTCAAGAGCAGTAACAACCATAAACAATTTCCAGCGTTTTTCAGCTGTTTACAAAAAGCAAATAAATTGTTTGATGGCTAAAATAAATTTGTTTTGTGCCGCGATAGAATTGAGCCATTTTAGCGGCTGTGATTTGGCTAAAAGTTCAATGTACATGTGGATAGTGTGAGTTGGGCTAATTTCCGATTTGCACTCACTTCCTCTCGCGGGAAATGCAATCATAATTTCGACTTAATTATTCAGGGCTCCTCGAATGTTTGCTAAATTCGTGAATATTACCCATGAACACATATTGGCGGAGTTGGGGCACTCACTTTGCTGCTTACCAGCGGCAATTTTAATTGTTCCATTTTAACATTTAAAACCAATTTATATTTATGAAATTTCGTAAATTGGCAATGTCATAAAACGCACACACTCACGCAGACTTCCAGGCACTTGTGCCCTCAGGTCGTATTCGCAACATTTCCCATTTAGCGTGACATGCTTTCATGCTTTCCCTTCTCCATTTTCCACTCACCCACTCCGAAGCCCCGGCATTTCGCATTTCGCATTTTCCATTTCCCATTTCCCACTTGCCATTTGTGGGCCGCTGCCCTGTTATGTGGTAATTAAAATGACTCTTGGCCCATCTCCGACGCGTTTTTGGACAGCTTTTTACTGCCACTCAGCCGATGCGTCGTATGCGTAATGTCTGGCTAAATTATTAATTTACTATGGCCCCAACGAGTGTTGTTAATTAATTTGTATGCACATACCGGAAAATCGAGACTGGGTGGTGCTTGAGCAGGCACGAGTGGGTACAGCATGATGATCCGCTTCAATGAATCGCTTCAAATGCTGGCCAGCAAATCCCATTACCATTGAGTGGATGGCGATGGTTGTGCCATATTAATTGATACGAAATAATTATGGCTAGGTAGGTGAGAAGTTGGTTTGAAATGATTCGTTGAAGGTTTTTATCTTTGTTAATCTGCACTTCACTGTGGTCGTCATTCCACGTAGTGACGAAAGGCACCAGGACAATGTGCAGGAACCAAAGGGATTTAAGTCTCTGTGGGCAGTATTCTTAAAGGGGTGCCTCACGTTTTCATCTCTATTGGGCCCATTACCATACCGACCCTTCGAAAGCAACATTTTCACCATCATGACTGCAAGGTGCACACTAAGCTGTACTGCGGTTAGTCTGTTCGCTTTTACCTTTGCTGGATTGTTTGCACTGCGGCAACGAGGCGTGTGATTAATTTTAGCCGGAATAGCCGACAAAAACCATTTCACTCCGCTCCTTTGTCACAATAATGAGGCGAAGGGCAGAGAGTGGGGCGAACAAAAACATATAATAAAAACAGTAAACATTTAATTGCCTGACAAATATTTGCCCATCGCCCCAGCAACCAAAAAAGGGGTTTATGGCCAAGTTTCGAGAGCTCGACAAATAGGCGCTGATGAAAAACTTTAATAGTAAAACTTCCCCAGTTGGCTTATGCTTTCATTTCTCCTCCTTCATGCTCCTTCTCATGCTTTCCCATTTCTCTTGTGCCATTTCTCCGTTCGCCCTCCGACTTTTCTCTTATGCATTATCGGCATACGCTGCTCATATAACTTTGCTCGTCGGCTGCCGTTGAAAGTTTTGCGCAGCTTGACAAAATTTTCAGAGCCCTGCGATGGTTGCTATATATGCAAAAATCTTAAGCGAAGTATCGATTTAGCCGCCGGCTAAAAATTATTTACAAACGAATGAACTTTTAAAGGGCCAACTCCAATTGAGTGGGTTGTCTGCGGTTGAGTTTTGTTTGTCTGCCAGCTCGACAGTCCTTTGCCAATGCCCGGAAGCTCCGCTACAAAGGACATTGCATGGCGGGTGAGTTCCTACAACACACAATATTTGGTAGGAATTGAAAAAATGTAATATTCAAAATTAAAAATGGTAGAAAAGGCTAATGGCTTGTATGCTTAAATTGTAGTATACCCATAAAATAAAGACCTTGCTAACGGTTCCCACAATTAAGTGATTTACCGTAACATCAAATTTTGAGATCTTTTTAAAATTAAATTAAAAATAAATTATTCAAAAGGAATATTTGATCGCGGCTTATTGATAACTTGATTACTTTACTATCGATATGTCACGATCAGTGAGTGGTCGCAAACGATAACAAGTACTTATCGCATCACAGATCTAGCGATATTTAGAGATGACAATGTGGCCAGATCAGCTAATTTTCGGTAAAATCTGGCTTCTTTCGAGCCAGTAAATACATTTTAAATTGATATAAATTGTGCTGAATTTTCGGTTTCCTAAAAATATTCTTAATATATTTCAAAAATAAAATAGAACAAAAAATATAATAATTATATATAATATATATATATTTAATATAATATTGCAAAATAATAATATTGCAATAAAATAATATATGATATATTAATTATAACACAGTTTACATGTAATAAATAAAGCAAGTACGCGTGCTTATTTAAGCCGCACGAAAAGCACACAGGCGCACTGTGACGTTTTAGCTTTTTTAAAGCTTTTTCGCCCTGCGTAAAGCAGCTTTATTTTCTGTACAGCTAGAAACAGCTTTTTTTCTGCCATCAAACTGGCAACACTGGCGGCAGGCGTCTCTACTCGCATTGTTATTGTCATCACTATTGCATTCACATTGTTGCTGTACGTCGTGTTTTAATTAGTTTTCATTGCGTTTTCTGCCGATTTATTAGCCGAATTATGAAAATTTACAAGCAGAAACTGCGCGATGTGTGGCTGCAAATGGAGGAGTTTCGTG